TGATGATGCCTTTTGTTGTTGCGTTCTTCGAACAGGTCCATTTCCTGTTGCTCGGCATGAAGTTCGGCGCAGAGATGCATTTCGGAGAGTCGGCCGTGAGCACGAAGAAGTGAACGGGTGGTGCGCCATTGAGGTCCAAGACCGGCAAGAACGACGGTTACGAAAGCTTCTTCAGATAAGTTTCCTCCGCAGCGAATAAGTCTGTCGCGTAGTCCTTGACAGCGACTGATGTAAGGCATGGCCTTTTCTCCAGGTTGCATTTGAACTGTTGTCAGTTGTGTCGAGAGTAATAAGAATGGGTAAGTTGAGAGGTAGAAAGGTGGGGCCTAGGCTTAGTAGCCTAGGCCCGAGCTTTAGGTGTCGAGCGGTTTTGTGCCTAGGTAGGAGTTCGAGTGAGTTGAGAAAAAGTTGGGAGAATGTGGAGCTTCACTATAGTTTTGAAGTACATATAGCAAAGGAAACACATAAGGTGCACCACCAATACAAAGTTTAAATAACTACACTACTGCTAGAACTACATGCAGTTATAATAAATATAATTTTGACATCCCCCCGTAACTGCATGCAGGAATAGCTAAGTGCAGAGCACAACCTGCAGAGGTACACCAACGAACAATAAAACAAGCAACAGCAGGTACACCCCCTCCATCTCCTCACCCTCCCCCTTCCCCTCCCCCACACTGCTGCAGAAGCAGCAGAGAAAGGGGGAAGAGAGGAGAGGTGGAGGGACGGCTGCTTGTTGCCTCACACCCGCCACCCCGATACCACTCCCCCTGCTCCCCCACATCCTCACACCCTCCTCCCCCAGCGGCAGCTGCAGCGGTGGGACTGAAAGAAGGAGGAGGGGAAGGGAGAGAGGTGACGCCACACTCCAACACCCTCCACCCCCATACCCTCCTCCCCACGGCTGCAGGGAGGCAAAGGAAGAAGGGGGGTGGGAAGGAAGAAAGCCGCAGAGCGGCGAAGAGGTGTCGGTGCAGATGGGTCAGGGGCGGCTTCAGGGAGTGCAGGGGCGGAAAGAAGGCCCGTCGCGGGCCAGTGCCACGGGGCGCACGACGGGTAGAATAAAAGGGCCCGATCGTGTGCCTCGGGGCACACGACGAGCAGGGCACCATCGTGTGCCACGGGGCGCACGATGGGCAGTTGAAGGGCACCGTCACGTGCCACGGGGCGCGCGACGGGCAGGGAAGGAGTCACACGCCCGTGGGCGGGACAAGGTAAAAATAAAATCGTCACGCGCCCTAGGCGCGCGACCGGAAAATATTAGCAGCGGAAGTGTAAAGCGGGCCCACAGGCCAGGACGAACTCAGCTCCGATAACATGTCGAGAGTAAAAAGAATGGGTAAGTTGAGAGGTAGAAAGGTGGGGCCTAGGCTTAGTAGCCTAGGCCCGAGCTTTAGGTGTCGAGCGGTTTTGTGCCTAGGTAGGAGTTCGAGTGAGTTGAGAAAAAGTTGGGAGAATGTGGAGCTTCACTATAGTTTTGAAGTACATATAGCAAAGGAAACACATAAGGTGCACCACCAATACAAAGTTTAAATAACTACACTACTGCTAGAACTACATGCAGTTATAATAAATATAATTTTGACATCCCCCCGTAACTGCATGCAGGAATAGCTAAGTGCAGAGCACAACCTGCAGAGGTACACCAACGAACAATAAAACAAGCAACAGCAGGTACACCCCCTCCATCTCCTCACCCTCCCCCTTCCCCTCCCCCACACTGCTGCAGAAGCAGCAGAGAAAGGGGGAAGAGAGGAGAGGTGGAGGGACGGCTGCTTGTTGCCTCACACCCGCCACCCCAATACCACTCCCCCTGCTCCCCCACATCCTCACACCCTCCTCCCCCAGCGGCAGCTGCAGCGGTGGGACTGAAAGAAGGAGGAGGGGAAGGGAGAGAGGTGACGCCACACTCCAACACCCTCCACCCCCATACCCTCCTCCCCACGGCTGCAGGGAGGCAAAGGAAGAAGGGGGGTGGGAAGGAAGAAAGCCGCAGAGCGGCGAAGAGGTGTCGGTGCAGATGGGTCAGGGGCGGCTTCAGGGAGTGCAGGGGCGGAAAGAAGGCCCGTCGCGGGCCAGTGCCACGGGGCGCACGACGGGTAGAATAAAAGGGCCCGATCGTGTGCCTCGGGGCACACGACAAGCAGGGCACCATCGTGTGCCACGGGGCGCACGATGGGCAGTTGAAGGGCACCGTCACGTGCCACGGGGCGCGCGACGGGCAGGGAAGGAGTCACACGCCCGTGGGCGGGACAAGGTAAAAATAAAATCGTCACGCGCCCTAGGCGCGCGACCGGAAAATATTAGCAGCGGAAGTGTAAAGCGGGCCCACAGGCCAGGACGAACTCAGCTCCGATAACATGTCGAGAGTAATAAGAATGGGTAAGTTGAGAGGTAGAAAGGTGGGGCCTAGGCTTAGTAGCCTAGGCCCGAGCTTTAGGTGTCGAGCGGTTTTGTGCCTAGGTAGGAGTTCGAGTGAGTTGAGAAAAAGTTGGGAGAATGTGGAGCTTCACTATAGTTTTGAAGTACATATAGCAAAGGAAACACATAAGGTGCACCACCAATACAAAGTTTAAATAACTACACTACTGCTAGAACTACATGCAGTTATAATAAATATGATTTTGACAAGTTGTGCCATGAGTCGGCTTTGTGTAACGCTGTCGGATGCTTGATGAATGCTTCGCAGATGTTGATAGGCGAGTTCCGCGGAGTTTGCGTAGTTCCGGTAGGCGCGGATGCTTTGTTGTTCGTTCGGCGACAGGTTTCGGAGAAGAACGGTGTAAGCCATTAGGGAGTGATACGTATAATTTTCTTTGTCTTTGTCTTCGCCGTTGTGTGGATATGGCCAGGTACCGTTGAAGAATCCAAGGAGATTTGCGCCTTCCATCAGGAGTTCAAACTCGAAGCTCCAAGAGTAGAAGTCCTTCCCGTTGAATGGTGTGGAGGTGTGCAGTCGCAGGATGTTGTTGAACTGCGCTTGTACTTGCAGGACTTCTTTGGTGTCTCGTTTGATGGCGGGAAGAGGAGTCGCTGGATGGCGAGGCGGCATGAACGTGAAGGAACCAGGTGAGACCGAATTTGGTGTTTGTTGATTATGTCGTCCGAACGATGAGTTGTCAATACTCATTGGTGCCGCTCCGTTGTTTACGCTGTTGCTGTTTGCAGGTTGTGAGGACTGTTGCTGCGACATGAAGTTGAAGAACTCCTCCATTAAGCTTGGGTTGAAGATTGTTGGCGGCGCTACTGGCGCTTGAGTAGAACGTTCCGTCGCTTCCGGCGTTAATCCGGGCGTTGTTCCTCCTTCGGTCTGCAACTCGGAGACCGGGGGTAGAGTAGATCTCGTGGATGATCTTCTTTCTTTGCCACTTGCCATGTCTTGCCTTTCTTGAATGAAGATTGATCTTCTTGGTTGCTTGCAGATTGGTAGCCTGGAAGAGGCTTAGTGACGAGAGCCTTTGTTCTCTGTCTGCTCTCATACCATGTTGGGCTGAGAATTTCAGCCTTAGAATCTTTGCAGAGAATAGGCTAATAGGTGCTAGAGTAGCACAGCGGAAGTCTTGAGTGAATGTACTTGTGCTGGTATGTGAGAACAAGTAATTGATTAAAGCAAAGAGCATACAGGAATATATAGAAAAGATAGATTACAGGAAACGGTTATGTTTATCGAGACGCGTAACGCTTCGACTATCGAGGCGGTTACTGTTCACTGAAGCGTCGCTTGCTGTTACGTAACCTCCAGGCGGTTACAGCTCGCAACCTCCAGTTGCGGTTTGATGTGGTACGCGCCTTTTCGACTTCATACTCCTTTTGTTGTGCTTCAGTATCGGGTGAGGTTCGATACTACAGAAACGCACTAAGTCATGCGTGAGAATTCCCAACAGGACCTATTACCGTACCAAGCTACCAAGAGCGTGGGAGGGTGGCTAGCATGATCGGTCATTGGTACTTGGCTTCTTCCCTTGTGCAGTTTCATGCTTCACCCCATCTGCCTTGTCCAACCCATGCCTAGAGCAGGGTCAGGTACTGTAACCATAATCCATTGTTACCGTATGTGAAGACAAGATACTCAAGGAGGGCTGCACTTTCTGTGCGAGACTCTAGACTTCATTGCAATGTATTTGCTTCCAGCCAAAGGTACGTTGGATTGTTCTAGTGGACCGATGCGGTTCTTGTTTGTGCAAGTGCAAAGCAAAAAACACAAGTTTTCTCTGCACTCTTGGCTTTATGTGACCTACTGGTATACCTGAAATAGATAAATGTTAGGACAATTGCAGCAACGGGAGGGAAACGGTGGCTGTGCGGGATAGGCTCCTAACCAGGACCCTCCAGGCTGCCTCTGCTGCTGCAAAGAGCGCGGGGACTTGCGGGGAAAGGTAGGGCAGCAGGGGTCTCGCCACCCTGATACAGTCACGCAGGAGCATTCCGAGCGTTTTCATCCCTAGAACGTGGAAGGATCCGCACATGTGCAGAAAATGCAGCAGGCATGGCTGTTGCCGTGATGAGTTGGAACTTGCAGTGGAAACGAGGCTTTGCTCTATGATGAATGAATTTAAATTTATACCCATACTAAACGAAATACAATGCATACCGTATAGCAAACCCCAAAAAGGTACGCTACACTAAATACAACAGTGGGGACCGGACTGAGCTGTCATGCTATTACTGCCAGTAACAGCTCAAGCACACCCAGCTACGCATGCCATGCCGCCAAAGTGACAAAACCAAATACGCGCAGCACAGACAAGCAGTGCACAAACTGCAGTTGACTACCGTATGTTTACTTAGACATGACCACTTCACCAAATAGCAGGTCCGTAATCTCAGAAGGGAATATGTTACACTTTTCGTAAGTGGGGAGGGCAGGCTGTGAGAGGGGAGGGCTGGCTGGCTGTGAGTGGGGAGGGCTGAAGAGAGTGGGAGCTTGGCCCCCAGCAGTGCAGCTAGAGTGGAGAGGAATCGAGTGCAGCTTGCTGCTTCCCCAGCTAAGATACTTGATGGCAATACAAGGACGTGAGCTGCAGCTGAACGTGGGAATGAAATCAATGGCTTGGTGCAGAAGCCTTGGCAGATGAATCATGGATGTGATAGAATTATGCTATTGGTGGGCGGGAAAATGCAGATTTGATTCTCTGGCGGATTTGGAACCGGGAGCCTGGGGGAGGGAGATTGGGCGCATGGGGAGGGGAAGGGCCAGGGAAAGTGCATGGGCAGGGAGAAAGTAAATTTTGATTGAGAGGAAAGAGCAGACTTTGATTGACTCGAGTCAAAGAATGGGCGAATGGGGGAAGGAGGGCAGGAAGGAACAAACTGACAACGCAAACTATCATCAGACTTCAACAATGGATCTGGAATGCTCATGAAATCCCACCAGGAAACCGCCTCTCCCCTCCCCCCCTCTCGTTCCCTCACCCATACCTTTCCGCTGGTGGCCCTCCCCTCCCGCCCCCTCGTGCCTCTCTCCCTCCTCCACCTCCCCATGCGCCTTGGGGCCTGTGATGGGCGGTGGGTGCTGCATCGCATTGTACTCTGCCTCCAGCTCCCTTAGCCGCTCTGAGACCTGGGAGGACAAAGAGGAGCATCGAACACGGCAGAGGGAGGGGCATTGCACACAGATGGTGCTGCATCGCATTGTACTCTGGGAGGAGCAGAGGGAGGGGCGTTGCACACAGATGGTGCTGCATCGCATTGTACTCTGGGAGGAGCAGAGGGAGGGGCATTGCACACAGATGGTGCTGCATCGCATTGTACTCTGGGAGGAGCAGAGGGAGGGGCATTGCACACAGATGGTGCTGCATCGCATTGTACTCTGGGAGGAGCAGAGGGAGGGGCATTGCACACAGATGGTGCTGCATCGCATTGTACTCTGGGAGGAGCAGAGGGAGGGGCATTGCACACAGATGGTGCTGCATCGCATTGTACTCTGGGAGGAGCAGAGGGAGGGGCATTGCACACAGATGGTGCTGCATCGCATTGTACTCTGGGAGGAGCAGAGGGAGGGGCATTGCACACAGATGGTGCTGCATCGCATTGTACTCTGGGAGGAGCAGAGGGAGGGGCATTGCACACAGATGGTGCTGCATCGCATTGTACTCTGGGAGGAGCAGAGGGAGGGGCATTGCACACAGATGGTGCTGCATCGCATTGTACTCTGGGAGGAGCAGAGGGAGGGGCATTGCACACAGATGGTGCTGCATCGCATTGTACTCTGGGAGGAGCAGAGGGAGGGGCATTGCACACAGATGGTGCTGCATCGCATTGTACTCTGGGAGGAGCAGAGGGAGGGGCATTGCACACAGATGGTGCTGCATCGCATTGTACTCTGGGAGGAGCAGAGGGAGGGGCATTGCACACAGATGGTGCTGCATCGCATTGTACTCTGGGAGGAGCAGAGGGAGGGGCATTGCACACAGATGGTGCTGCATCGCATTGTACTCTGCCTGCCTCCAGCTCCCTCAGCCGCTCAGAGACCTGCAAGGACAGAGGGGCAGGGAGATTACACACACTCTGTCTCCCCATGGGTCTTGGGCACTGCTTTTGAGAGCTCTCAAAAAGGTGGCGGGTGCTTCATTGCCATATACTCCACCCGCCTCCAGATCCCTCAATCCCTCCGATTCCTTCAAACCCTAAATCTCAACCAAATTTCTAACCCCTGAATCTCCCACCGAATACATTGAAGGAGACGGCGACGTTGAGCAGTGTGTCTGGCTCCAGGATGCAATCAGAAAGGGAGTGATGCGACAAGAAAGGCAAACTCTGAACCCAGACGTTCACACCCTAACCCTCAACCCCTCTAGTGCGTACATTGAAGGAGAAGGCGACGTTGAGCAGTGTGTCTGGCTCCAGGATGCGGTCCGGGTACGTCCTGAGGGCCGGCACGAGGTCCTCAAAGGGCATCTGCAGCTGTTGGGGGGTGGGAATGAGGCATGGTTGTACCAAGGAGTTCGACGGGTGAGAAGACGACGATGGGAAGTGTGTCTGGCTCCAGGATGCGATCGGGGTACGTCCCGAGGGCCGGCGTGAGGTCACCAAAGGGCATCTGCAGCTGCAAGGGAGAATGAAGAGAAGAGGGGTCATGTAAAAAAACAAGTTTCGGGGTTAATCAACGTAGAAGTGGGGTGAAAGCAAGAGCAAGGCATGGGAGAAAAGGGTGCAAATGAAAAGCGGGAGAAGAGAGGGAGAGAGAGAAGACTTCATGTCAGTGCGTGGGGAGGCAGGTCATACCAGATCGTCCTGTTGCTGCTTCAGCAGAGCCAGTCCCACCCGGAACACTGTCTTCATGCCCTGCCATGGGGGGAGGGGGGAAGGGACAAGATACTCATTGCCTCTTCTTACGCAGAAAATCTTACCCCAACCAACTAACCAACCAACCAACCAACCAACCAACCAACCAACCAAGACTACACAGGGATCAAAAGTACGGGCCCTCTCTCACCTCAATTAGGACCACATCCCATATTTTCAGGGTGGTCGCAAAGGGGAAGCTGTAGGCGAAAGCGGTGATGAACCACTGAGAGGCGTACATGGAGGGATGGCGTCACTCCCTCGCCCATCCCTTATATGTGCCGTGCCCTACCGTCTCACCTCAAACAGAAAGACGTCCCATATTCTGAGTGTGGTGGCAAAGGGGAAGCTGTAGGCGAAGACGGTGATGAACCACTGAGACGCGTACATGGAGGGGGTCACCCCCTCCCCCTCCATGTGCCGTGCGAGCTGCGGCAGGCACTCGTGCAGCAAGCGATCGAACTGGAAGAGATATTGTTGGACCAGCGGCAGACCCACCTGAAAGGAGCAGCACGGGGGAAACGAGAGGGAGGGAGGGGTGAGAAAAATGGGGGTAAGGGGATGAAACAGCGGAGCAAAGACAGGGGCAGGCACTCAAGCAGCACAGTGGGTTGAAATGGAAGTTGACTTTTGAGTCGACTCAAAAGGCACTCAAGCAGCACAGTGGGTTGAAATGGAAGTTGACTTTTGAGTCGACTCAAAAGGCACTCAAGCAGCACAGTGGGTTGAAATGGAAGTTGACTTTTGAGTCGACTCAAAAGGCACTCAAGCAGCACAGTGGGTTGAAATGGAAGTTGACTTTTGAGTCGACTCAAAAGGCACTCAAGCAGCACAGTGGGTTGAAATGGAAGTTGACTTTTGAGTCGACTCAAAAGGCACTCAAGCAGCACAGTGGGTTGAAATGGAAGTTGACTTTTGAGTCGACTCAAAAGGCACTCAAGCAGCACAGTGGGTTGAAATGGAAGTTGACTTTTGAGTCGACTCAAAAGGCACTCAAGCAGCATAGTGGGTTGAAATGGAAGTTGACTTTTGAGTCGACTCAAAAGGCACTCAAGCAGCACAGTGGGTTGAAATGGAAGTTGACTTTTGAGTCGACTCAAAAGGCACTCAAGCAGCACAGTGGGTTGAAATGGAAGTTGACTTTTGAGTCGACTCAAAAGGCACTCAAGCAGCACAGTGGGTTGAAATGGAAGTTGACTTTTGAGTCGACTCAAAAGGCACTCAAGCAGCACAGTGGGTTGAAATGGAAGTTGACTTTTGAGTCGACTCAAAAGGCACTCAAGCAGCACAGTGGGTTGAAATGGAAGTTGACTTTTGAGTCGACTCAAAAGGCACTCAAGCAGCACAGTGGGTTGAAATGGAAGTTGACTTTTGAGTCGATTCAAAAGGCACTCAAGCAGCACAGTGGGTTGAAATGGAAGAGGTATTGTTGGATTAGAGACCGTTCCTTACTCCAGGAACTTACGAGGAAGATTCCTTCAAGCGAGGTGTGGTTGGCGCCCTTCATGAGCGCAACAAGGAAGTTTCACAGCACTTAGGCGGAAGGTTTGCTGCACTTACGAGGAAGATTCCTTCGAGTGACGTGTGGTTGGCGCCCTTCATGAGCGCCACGAGCAGCCAGAAGGCGTCCTCCTCCGCCATGTACAGCAGCATGAGACCAGCAATAAAACCCATGCCCTGGGAGGAGGGGGAGGGGGGTTTGGGAACAAGCACGTCCCACTGCATCAGCGCCATGACACACACGAGCAGCCAGACGGCGTCCTCCTCCGCCATGACTGTACAGCAGCATCAGCCCCGCTATGAATCCCATGCCCTGGTGGGGTTGACGAGTGTGCATGGGGAAAGGGAGGACGGAGTAGGCAGATGCACGCACTGAATGGCCACCACAAACGAGCAGCCAGACGGCGTCCTCCTCCGCCATGTCTGTACAGCAGCATGAGCCCCGCTATGCCTGGTGGGGGGTTGAGAGGGAGAAAAGGCGAGCAGGGAGTTAAGAGAGAAGGGAGTGAGTATATGCATGCACTGACTGAATGCAACACGCGAGCAGCCAGAAGGCGCCCTCCTCCGCCGTGTCTGTACAGCAGCATGCGCCGTGTCTGTACAGCAGCATGCGCCGTGCTGCTACGAAACCCATTCCCTGGAGTCAGGGAGGAGAAACAGTCAGGAGCATGAGGCCTGCTATGAAGCCCATGCCCTTGAGTGACAGGTTTCGGGAAGTGGAGGAAAGAGTGGAGGGACAAGTGAAGGGGCTCGGCTCGTAGAGGAGGGGGTGCAGGAAGGAATGAAAGCGGGAGTGAAGAGAGGGGGGGTCATCAACCTCCGTCGTAAACGCTGCACCTGCACTTAGCCAATCTTCTTGTCGTTAACGCTGTATGCTTTGAGCACGTTAAACGGTGCTCTCTGCCCCGGCCCATGCTTCTGCATGAAGTAGACGTGCGTGGGCAAGGTGCGGTTGACCCCTCTTATCCTCTCACCTGCACTGCTCATACCCACTCTTCTTACCCTCTCACCTGCACGTATCCAATCTTCTTGTCGTACACACTGTACGCCTTGAGCACGTTGAACAGCGCCCTCTGCCCAGGGCCGTGCTTTTGCATGAAGTAAACGTGCGTGGGGAAGGTGCGGTTGATGTCTCGAATGATGTCCATCTCGTTGTTCGACAGCTCGTACAGTAACATGTGCTGCCCATAACGGGGATGAGAGGGGTGCAGGAAGGGGGGGGGAAAGAAATGGGGGTTTTAAAAGGTGGCATTCTCGTTATTGGTGTGCATGTACTGAAGGACTCTCAAAATCTTCCAACCACGGCTCACCTCATACGCGCCTTCATTCATCAACAAGAACTCCCGGCTACCAGACAAAAGCTGCCACACGATCCCACGCAGGCAGTCCGGCACGCCTTGTCTTATCCGCTTCTTGACCTCGCGGGGGTGCTTCCTCTGATAGAGGTTCCAGTCCATGGGCCCTAGACCAATCATAGCACGCCACCTGCGCACCTCCCTCTCCTCTCTGATTGGATTGAGAATGACAGAGGATGGAAAGGTGACTTTTGAGCAGATCAACAATTGCAAAGGAGCAGGAAGAAGATTGTGGAAACGGGGGAAAAAATGGGCAGAGTGTGGAAGAAGGAAGGGGAGAGAGAGGGATGACAAGAGATGACAAGGGATGACAAGGGATGACAAGGGATGACAAGGGATGACAAGGGATGACAAGGGATGACAAGGGATGACAAGGGATGACAAGGGATGACAAGGGATGACAAGGGATGACAAGGGATGACAAGGGATGAGAGGCCAGGAAGCAACCCGATTGCTTGACACACGATGGCGTATCTGCTTCGATTACAGAAGCAGATTCACAACGAGGGTGTTAATTGTTATGTCACGTGAATGCACTGCAGCTTCTCTCCCTTTTCCAGCAAGCTTGCGTGTGGACCATGCTTTTGGGGTGCCTAACATATGTACTCGTCCTTACTTGATGAACAAAAGCCGTTCCTCCTTCTCCAACAAGCTAGCCTGCGGAGGATGCACCCCTGCCACCCCTCTCACCTCCTCGCCTCCCCCAGTCCCCTCCCTCCCCTCCCCCTCCTCTGCCACAAACCCATACCGATCCACCACAGCAGGCATGTCCATAGGCTCGGTATCAAATTCCACAGCAGCAGCTTCGGTAAGAGGTCCGCGCTTGTGCCACTCTATCCCGTCCTTGTCTCGGTAGGTTCGGGTCGACAGCGTTGCTTCGGCTTTCTTCCCCAGGGAGGCCAGGGTCGGCGGCAGGCTCGGGTTCGCTGCTTCGGCAGCGGCTGCAATTGCGGCGGCTGCTTCGGCGCATGGTGACGATACTGGGTCGTGTCTTAAAGGGGATGAGGGTTGGCTGTGGTGGTTGTGGCTGGTTTCTGAAGGCTCAGTGCCTTCGGTAATGGTTTCCTGTAAACCACCCACCTCATACTCACTCATGTGAGGACTCCCCCCTCCTCCCCCCTCACTCGCCGCCCCACTCCCCTCCTCACTTCCCTCCCCACTTTCCTCCTCCCCACTCTCCTCCGCACTCTCCTCCCCACGCACCCTGTTGTCGTCCTCTCCATCATCCACATCAGACAGAGGGCTGCTACCCCCTAAAGGCGACCTGCCAATCCCAGCAGGAGTGGACATGGCCCTGGGGAAACGAGCCATCACTCTCCTCCGTCCTGCGCTTGAGCTTTGCTGTATGCTCTGCTCTGCACTCTGCTCCTCGTCTTTCTCATCGCCCTTCTCTTCGCTCTGCTCCACAGCCTCCTCTAATTCTGCCAGTGCTGCTGCTGCCGCTCTTGCTGCTTCTCCATCTCCTTGCTGCCCAGCAGATAGAACCTCCAAACCACCCACACCTGCACCGTCGTTGCTACCACCAGCAGCAGAAACAGCAGCAGCAGCGGGAGCAGGAGCAGGAGCGGGGGGAAGCCCAGCATCTCGAGGCATGGAGAAGAGAGGGGAGCGAGGGCCCTGCGGCTGCAGCCCCACAGGGAACGACTGATTCGACAGCTGCCGCCGGTGCTGCCGGTTCTGCACGTGCAGGGGCGGCAGGTTGTGCGGCAGGATATGGTGTGGGTAGTACGGGGATTGCATGAGAGCGGGGTCTAGGGGGGACGAGGCAGTGGAAGACATGGTGCAGTCGATTGAAACGGTTGGGCTCGGTTCATAACGTGCTGTCTGCCATCTCTCCCCGTCCCCTCCCCCGCTGGCTCTCCTCCAGTGCGGCACGTGCACGGCTGCTCCTCCCCCGCTGCTTCCCCGCTGCACCCGTGCTTCTCCCACCGTTCCTCCTGCTGCTGCGGCTGCTGCTGCGCCTCTCCCTCCTCCTTGCCTTACTTCTTCCTGTAACCTTCTCCTTCGGATGATAGCGCTGCCACTGCTTGCTGACCGTCTGGCCAACGCTCCTCCCTCCTCGTCCTCGTCTGCTTCTTCATCTCCTCTCAAGCTCTCTTCTTCTTCCTCCTCCTCCTCCTCCTCGTCTTCTCCTTGCTCCTCTAGAGCAAAATCCGACCCTCGTTCCTCCCGATCCTCTTCCTCTTCCCCACTGCCCCCACCTCCCCCTTCTCTACTTCCGCCCCCCTCTCCCCTCTCTCCGCCAACTCCCCCACTCTCGTCCCCTCTTCCGCCGCCTCCCCTACTTTCCCCAACCCCTTTTCCCAAATCCCCGTCCAAACCAGTGCGACCCCCACCACTGCCACTGGCAGCATTACCCGCTTGCATAACACCCCCTATAAGCACACCTTCTACAGTAACCCCACTGTACACTGCCCCATCCCCCACCCCTTCAAGTCCCCGTTTCACCTTTCTGGTTAACGGAGCACGCTTCAACGCGCCAGGGACTAGCTTAGGTGGAATCGCCAACGCAGCAGCTGCAGCACGAGCAGAACTCGCCGACCCTTTCTCAATCGTCTCCTTTCCCTCTAATCCCTTGTCTTCCCCCTCTGCTCCACCCCCTTTTCCACCCTCTCCCCCAGTCTCCCCTTGGTTTTCCTCCCCCACTATACCTTCCCCGTCCTCTTTCCGCTGCTGCGCCATTGCAAAGGCCTCAAGGCTCTTCCTTTCCCGCCCAAACCCGCACAGCGCGTGATGCACCCTACGCCTGTGCATCTCCTCCAACCAGAGCGCGCCACTTGTCCTCGTCACAATAATCGCGAAATCCGACCGTCCAGATGCGTCCAGCCATCCCACACGAGTGCTCGCCCCTCCCACGTTATCCCCGCCCATCCCCCCCCCGCCCCTACTTCCCCCTCTCCCTTCCTGATGGTGCGGTCGCCCCATCCACTCCCCCCACCGCAATTTCTCTCCCCCCGTTCCGCCACCCTTTCCCCCGCCCGCTCCCCCGCTCATCCCCTCTGCTCCGCGCGCTGCGGCTGCGGCAGTTACGGCGGCGGCGGCGGCGGCTGCATCAGTGGTGGCTTTCCCCGCGGGCATGGACATCTGTTTGAGGTAGCCGCGGTGCGGGCGCAAGTGCGCGGGCGGAGCGGAAGGCGCAGCTGGTCGCGCGTGACCTGAACCGCTGCTTCCCCCTTCGCTCCCCGCATCTGCTTTTTCTCGCGCCAACTCGCGCAACCCTAGCGCTTTCCCCAGATTCGACATGCGCATTCCGCCTATCCCGCCTATCCCGCCCATTCCGCCGATTCCGCCCAATTTGCCGGATTTTTTCGGGCGCGGCTCGCTGTGGTAGCGGACAAAATCTCCGCCGTCAACTGCCTGATCGTCATCGTCGCGAGTTAACGAGGAGGCTACTCGAGGCGCACTATCTCTTGCGATACCTATTTCACTATCTACCGTCGATTCTGGACTAGCGGGCTCCATTGACCGTTGATTGTGGATCCTAAACGTGGGATTTCCCCCAAAAGACGCGCTACCGGAAACTTTTTGAGAAACGAAAACCGCGGCTGCGGAGGAACGAGGGTCAGCTACAATCGCGGGTGTTACGGCGGTAAAAGCGCTGGCTACAGCTGCTGCTTGTGCATGGCAGGTGGAGGCGACAGGAGGCAGTGACGCGAGAACGTGTGGCGGAGGGCGATGCAGAGGCGACTCGCTGGCCATTAAAGCTCGCTGTCAGGCGAGTGGGCGACCTTCAAGCCACGCTCCCGGCATGGCCTCAGATAGCATTCGCCTGACTGCACATTCCGCGAGTTATTTTCGTTTGGAAAGAGGATGAGGGTCGGAAATGGCGGGAAGCAAGCGGATTTTTATCAGCAGAAAATGGTTCGATACCGTACAGAGAATGGGAATGAAAAAGGACAGCGCTTCGAGAGGATTTCTTCCTTGGAGCGACGACTAACCGTCTGATGGCGACATGCGACCTGCGCGTACTCGTTGCGCGCACCTAATCTGCACTCGCTGCGAGAATTCCACGTCTGCTAAGAACGAGTTGGGAACCGCAAATGTGACCCTCCCTGTGAGACACTAAGAAACGAGAACGCGAAACTACTTAAACCCGCTGGTCACAAGAGAGTTCCATCTGCATTAGTAACCGTCGGACATCCTATTATCACACTCGAAGGAGAGGAACGACAACGTAACCTGATCCTGCGCACACCTGCAGAAAGGGTGATCTTGCCGAGCAAAATCCATAAGACGTAAACAGAAAGACGTAAGGGGCGGCAAAATCCATGGGCGGGAAGAAGGGTTGCGCGGTGGCGCTTCTCCATGCGGAAGATTTCCATCCTTGCGTGGTGGCGCTCCTCCTTGCGAATGAGAAGGCCGCCACATCCGCAAGCATGCGCGCAGCCGTAGGTTTCTCCGCATGGTACTCATTGCGCTGGTTGTTGCGAGCCTTCTGATTGGACAAAACTGTCGTGTGGTGGAAAACCTCTTTGTCAAGCAATATTAGTGTACGCTGAGCTGAAAATCAAGTCTGTAAGCGATGTAGTTTGTAAAGAGTATAACGCCACGACCACTCGTTTCAATTTCACCAAACATGTGCGTGCCTTGTACAATTGATGCCCAACCAGTGCACGCGGATTTGCCTAGCGCCGGATGGAAACGCTGCACCCGAGGTTGTTTCCCCAGCCTGTTGCTCCCACGTTATAAGCGCGTCGCGTGGTTATCAACCAATAGTAACGAACAGACCGAGGTCAAGCAGAAGAGACTGAAGTCAAATAAGGTAACAGATCTTGTTTATAAGCACCTGCGAGTCCTTTTTAGCTAGCTGCGAATTGACGAAACTTATGCGAATAGCTTGTTACAGCTTATACGCCCTCTTTACAAGGCAGTCGGGAGGGGCTCAAACAGGCATCAATTGTACATTATCAACACAAAAAACGACAAAGGGCATGAATGAACCAAGGGTATGGTTACGAGTGTGGGCGATGTCAGTTTTAGCGAAGACCCTCAGGTGACAGCTGTTTCGGCTTGCGCCATAGCTGAGGTGCCTGCATCCGACAAAGAGCATGAGCCAGGGAATTCAGTTGATGCTCGTGTTTTGCTCAACGAACTTCGCTGCAGAATGTGCGGTTTAAAAAGCCCCAATATAATATGACAAAACAGCCAGAGTCTGCTAATTATTGGGTGCGTGCAAGATTCATACAACTGAGTTTGCAAGTGCTATGCACTATACCCAGAAAAGCTCCTACAACTAGCAATTACAAACATGAAATGTACTTCATTTCATTGAAATAGGTACAGGTACTTATAGTCTCAATGTCACTATCAAGTGCTCAGATTGATTCCTGAAACGGGGGCATTTATCCGGTAAAATCAACACTCGAGCATCTTAGGGTACATTCCGCTGTAGACACATGTCCCAATCGATGTGTCCCAATCGAGTGTACCGCTCCGAACCGAACTAAACCAGAGACGCGAAAATTTCGAAACTAGGGTGCAATTCGGTGTAATACGATGCAGTGCGGTAGAAACGATTGGGACACATCGATTGGGACGTGTGTCCACAGCGGAATGTACCCTTATAGCACCTTCTCATGTCACAGCTTGCAGATGTAGCCAAGTGATCTCCATTTGCTCAACCCATCCGCTGCCCCACAAATTGGGCTTTGTATTGAAATGCAACCCTGTATTTGCGCCAGCTTGAAACTTGAAAGTCTCGAACCCCACTCATCCCATGCCTCAAATTGCAGTTCCGTCTTCCTTCGCATGGCTCACACCGCGCTGTATACTGAGCCAAGGAGCGTAGCTCACATGACAGAGCTATTGCATCCTGAAACACGTGGCACTTTACAACAATTTCCGTCACCAGCAGACACAACCATTTCCTTCCACTCATCCAATCTAAGAATTTTAGGCCCCTTTTCTTCCACTCACCCACCAAACACCATCGGTTTTCAACCCCCATCCCTTTTACCAACCATCTTAGAGGCTTCCACACCATTCTCTTCCACTCACCCACACGACGAGTCCAACACCCTTCTCCTTAACTCACCCACCCTCCCTAGGAATGTCAACTCCCTTCTCTTCCACCCACCCAAGACAAGGATTTCAGCTCCCTTCCTTTCCACTAACCCACCGACCCTAGGAATTTCAGCCCGTTGCTCATCCACTCTTCCTCCTACCCTAAGGTTTCCAACCCCTTGTTCCTCCATCCACCCAGATTCAGGGATTCAGCCATCCACCTTAGGGAATTCAGCCCTCTTCCCACTCTCTGTTTCAGCCCCCTTTCCCAATCACTTCACTCTTACTCACCCACACAAGGTGTTCCAGTCAGCCCCATTCCCTCTCACTCACCCATCCTGGGGGTTTCAGCCAACTTTCCTCTCACTCACCCACCTAAGGCATTTCAGTCCCCCGCTTTCCTCTCACCACCACCACCTTCCCCCCTACCCAACTCCTCACACCCCTCACCTGCCAGCAGTAGGAGCAGCAGACAGCCCACTTCCAAAGGAAACAGCACCCCATAGAGGCTGTGCCATTTAGGGTGAAGTGTGGCCGTGGAGTGGACATTTGCTTCCACCCCAAGACTCAAATTCCACCCCTCACGTAGCTAGAGCTGACGCGAACCAGAGCCGCCGGCCGGTCGACTCTGACGGTGTCCATTAAGCTTTGAACGCCAGATCTGTTAGCACCGAGTGCCGTGCCGCGCAGATTCCACCCACCCCACCCCGACCCACAAGGCACAACCCCAGAGGATGCTGCCCCTAAGGCAGTGAACTCCCTGTTTGCTCCCATGCTTCCCACCCACCCTCCTCCCTTCACCCCATGTATCCTTACCTCTACTCACCACAGTCATGCAGAGTGCTGTGATGCCTGAGGCCGTGGGGGAGTGGGGACGGGGAGGATTGACAGAGCGCTGTGATGCTTCTGTGTGCTGCTGATGGCGCAGTGATGCTTCTGTGGTGTGACACATGTCAGTGCGTTGGAAGTGCTGGTGAATCTCCGACTCCAGTTGAGCCACTCGAGTCATGAACGCACCATGCATGGCATGGGGTGAAAGAGGAACGAATTCAAGAAACAAGAAACAAGAAGGGCGAAGGGAGCGGGGAAAGACGGGGTTCTCTTGAGGGTGCTGCTGCATGTCCGTGTGTTGGGAGTACAGGTGAAAATCCGTCTGAAGCTCAGCCACTCGATTCGTGAATGCCCGCCTGCATGCTGCTGCTGCTTTTGCTGCTGCTACTGGTGGTACTGCTGCTGTGGTGTGGCGCATGTCAGTGTTCTGAAAGTGCTGGTGGACTCTCGACTGCAGCTGAGCCACTCGAGTCATGAACGCCCGTCTGCATGCATTCATGCATACCATGGGGTGATGTGGATCCGTAAGATAAGACGGATCCATGTGAGGTGATGTCAAGGAATGTGGGGGCATGCCATGCCATGGCATGTCATGAGTCCCATGCAGATGTTGATTCCGTAACACCCCATGCCATGCCACACCATAAAAACAAACGAAGTCATCAGCAGTAAGACCTTGGAGCAAAGTTGTGGAGCATTACCAGGCAAGAGCAAAATCTCCCACACCTGTTCTGTTTGGTTTCTACACCCAGCAAGACCACGATTCCTACACCCAGCAAGACCAAGATATTATTTGAGTCGACTCAAAGGGGTGTCATAGGTGCTGCTGGTTTCACATAAATGAGCAAAGATGGCATGTAGAGCGAAAGAGCAATGCATTCACGCACATGCACACAAACAAAGGGGAAAGAGGGGGGGCGGTTTGCCAAGAGGGGAGACGACGTGGAGAAGAGGAGAATGGAGAAGGGGAAGGGGGAAGGGGGAAGGGGGAAGGGGGAAGTGGGAAGGGGGAAGGGGGAAGGGGGAAGGGGGAAGTGGGAAGGGGGAAGGGGGAAGGGGGAAGGGGGAAGGGGGAAGGGGAAGCGGGGAACGGGGAAGGAGGAGAGCTTACCCCAGCAGCCGTTGGCGAAGCGTCACGTGTCTCTCTTGCAGCGCTGCCACTGCCATAGGATGACACATGCCATGTGGATGACACATGCCATGTGGATGACACATGCCATGTGGACGACACATGCCATGTGGACGACACATGCCATGTGGATGACACATGCCATATGGATGACACACACACATATTCCATGCAGATGACACATGCCACATTGAGGATACACGCCATGTGGATGACACATGCCACGTGGATGGGACGAGGGTGAAAAGCGGATGATTGAGGTCATGGAGGGAAGGGGAAGAGAGGAGAAGGGGAAGAGAGGAGAAGGGGAAGAGAGGAGAAGGGGAAGAGAGGAGAAGGGGAAGAGAGGAGAAGGGGAAGAGAGGAGAAGGTGTGGGAAAGGGAGAGACGCAGCGGAGGGGAGAAGTGGTGAGAGGAAAGGGAAGGGTGGGACGCGTGTAACAGTTCGGGCATGCCACAAGAGTTAAAGGAATTTGAGGGCAGCTTGTTTGACCTGCACGGCTCTTCACTGTTGCTGCACTGCAAGGCGAATAAAAAGCGAGAGAAGGCTCCAAACGCGAGAACCAGTGAAAGCAGTGCAGCCAGTGGTGCAGACAGTGACAGCAGCGCCATGCCATCATGCCACGCGCAGTCCCTCCCTCCCCGCTCACTCACTCCGCATCTCCAGCTCTTCCAAAGCGCCCGTCACCACGTCTCCCACACGCACCCACTGCCAGCAGTACTGGCAGTGCCAAACGCGGAAGCCAGTGCAAGCACTGCAAGCGGTGCCATGCACCAGCCCCTCCCTGCTCATTCACTCCGCATTCCAGCTCTTTCAGCGTGCCCGCCCCCACGTCTCCCACACCCAACCAGCGCAAGCAGTGCCAAACACGAGAAGCAGCGCAACCAGCGCAACCAGCACAAACATTACAAGCAGTGCCATGCCATGGCCAAGTGCCATGCCATGGCCAAGTGCCATGCCATGGCCAAGTGCCATGCAAGTGCCATGCCATGGCCAAGTGCCATGCCATGGCCAAGTGCCATGCCATGCACCAACCAACCCCTCCCCCGTTCACTCACTCCCCCGTTCCAACGCACCTGCCCCCATATCTCCCACACCCACCCAGTGCAAGCAGTGCAGGCAGTGCAAACAGTACAAACAGTGCAAGCAGTGCAACCAGTGCAAGCAGTGCCATGCCATGTGCCATGCCATGTGCCATGTGCCATGCCATGTGCCATGCCATGTGCCATGTGCCATGCCATGTGCCAGTCCCTTCCCGCTCACTCACTCCGCATCTCCAGCTCTTCCAGTGCGCCCGCCCCCACATCATCCACACACACCCGGTGCAAGCAGTGCAGCCAGCACAAACAGTACAACTAAAAGTGCACGCAATGCTACGTGTTTTTGCATCTTGCCATGCCATGCCATGCCATGCCATGCATCACTCACTCCGCATCTCCAGCTCTTCCAGCGCGCCCGCCCCCTCATCTTCCCCCTCCACCTCCACCACCTCCTCCCCCTCCTCATCCACCTCCTCCCCTCTGCTGCTCCGCGCCTCTTCCTCCCTCCCGCCGCACTACCAATCAGGTAAAGCGGTCCCGCGCAAGCGGGCTCTTGAGGCGCCTCAACCATCCTTAGGTGCTCCCCGCTCCTGTCGTCTGCTTGCAGAGGCCCCTCACACGCCTCCAGGGGCGTTGCATGAGAGACCGTGGGAGTGTGTGCGGCGCTAATTGTCACCCCGTTATTAGCCACCCCGTTATCAGCCAGCCGGCTGTTGGATATTCCTCCCTCAGGCAGACCTCCTGTAGCAGCAGCTGCCACGAACCTTCCTCGTGTTTTCTGGCGCAATTCCGCCGCCTGCTGCAGCGCCAGCGGCGCTGATTACAGAATCTGCTGCTCGGTCCCCGCTTTTCCCGCCGCCATTCCCGCTAAAGGCGGAATTAGCGCTGCTTTAGCCATCGCCATCGCGGATAATGGCGGCGTGGCGGCACCGCCAGTCGCGCCGCTCATCACGGCGACATGCGCGCTTCTGGCGGAGTGCGCGCGCGCGGCAGGCGCCAGGCGCGGCTTGGATCTAGCGGGAACCGCGCGCGGGCTGAGCGGCTCCTCGTCGTCGAACGCGACGCGCTTTAACTCGCGACCTCGGCTGCTGCGCCTCGTGCCCTCCATGTACTCGTTACGATCCGCTTCGCTAAGTGTCGCAATCGTTACAACGCTTATGTATAACGGCTCGCCGTGGATTCAAGCCTCCTACCGTGTCGCAGCAACGGCAAAACGACTTGACGCGTACGCGCTCCGACGTAAGGGCGTGTCACATGTTCGGACGGTCACGGTCTATCACGGTCGCGGATCTCGGATGCTGCACCTCGTGGCCTCCATTGTACTCGTTACTATCAGGTTGAGAATTTGGAATGAAAGAAGAAAGCACTTTTTGAACATTACACATAGCGGACTTTCTAGTAACACAGCAAAGAACCCAGCTCACACTCCGCTTGTTTGAAAGGTTCCCTCGCGGTCAGGAACGGTGCCGGGATTTAACCGCTATGAGTGAGCTGATCAGGGACAGTTCAACCATTGCGCACCGAAGTAAACCACTCAACCATGAAACAACTCGTTCTTCACACTCATCTCACGACTATCTCTTCTCGGATCGCGTTGACGCCATAGATACAGCTTCCTATTATCCGTCCGACCAGCAAAGATCTTCTGTTGCTCGTCACTGGGATTCGAGCTAGGTAGTTCTTATCAATCCCTGAACGAATGATTAGTAGTCGCTGTTGGCGAAGGCAGACGCTTCTCTGCTCTATTCGATCCACGTTGGTCGATGCGCGGTCGCGTTGGCATAGAGGTGGAATGCGCGGGTGCGTGCTTCGATACATGCATCTCTTACCTTTCCTTACGTCAACAGTAGATCCTGGCTCAGATTCCATCTGCAGCTAGCGTGATTGCGAGGCGTTTCGGAAATGGTTTTGGTTGCTTCAGCTGTTTGTCTGTGCGTCGTCGTGTGCGGTTAGAATTTTTGGAAAGCGATAGCACGCGGAAGTCACGCTAAGGAACTATTAATCTTCGTGTCTGCAGCAGACGATAGCGTGATTTTTGCAATACAAGTCCTGGAGCTGCTGCTTGCCGTTCCTGGATTCAAGAAGATCATGCGCGCAGTTTTACGCTACATGACGCGGTATGAGCGGATTGGATTCTTCAGACGCCTCATCAATGGTATTTTCGCGGATTCAGGCCTTTCCGTGAAGATACTGGTGTTTGAGGCGAATGAGCCTCTCCCCGCTTTCCTTCCCCCTTCCCTCATTATTCCCTTCAGAGGGCAAATGAGGCGATGCAGGGCGTGCGTGGTGACTGAGGCGAATGCGCGCAGGGAGGGGGAGAGGGCAAGCGAGCAGCACGAGATCGACCGTTGAGGCGCCTCAAAAGATGGAGCGCGGGGGTGGCGTTTGAGGCGAATGCGTGCAGGGAGGGGGAGAGGGCGAGCAGGCAGCACGACATCGACTGGCTCACCTGGCTCCAACGCACCCAGGTGAGATGCGAATGCGGTGTGGAGCGGTCAACTGGGGTCGCCTGTAACGCCTGCGAGCTTGCTGGCTTGGTGTAGCGGAATAGGCGGTGGGGTGCGGTGGGGTGTGGCAGGATGAGATAAAGAAGGGCGACGTGTGAGAGGAGGCTGAGCTGAGAGAGGGGCAACGGAGAGAAGAGGGTGGTTGGTGGAGTGGAGTGGGATGGGATGTGGTGGGATGAGAGGAGATGGGGAACATATGATAAGGTGGGGGAGGGGAGTGTAATTGGATGACCAAGAAGTGAGTTGTACCTCGTCCCTCTTTCTCCTCCCCCTTTCCTTTCTCATTTTGCCCTTCCCTCTTCCCTCCTTTGCCCGTCCTCCTTTGCCCTTCCTCCGTTGCTGTCCCCATTTTTTTTTCCCCCCTTTCCCCTTCCTCTTTTGCCCGTCCCTCCCCAATTGCCCGTCCCCCTTTGTCCGCCCCCCTATGCCCGCCCCCATTTTCCCTTCCGCTTTTGCCCTCCTTCGCCCGTCCCCCTTTGCTCCTCAAGCCCTCTTTCCTCTTCATCCTTTTTCCTTTCCCCTTCCCCTTCCTCCTCCCCTGTTTTCCCTTTTGCCCTCCTCCCTTCGCCCTACTCCCCTGCTGTCCCGTCCATATCAAATCGCTCTCCTTCTCTGCCCTCCCACCACCCGTCCCTATCTCACCCTCGCCACCCCTCCTGCTCTCACCCCTGCAACCACACCAGGCCCATGAGAGTGTGAGCATGTGAGCATGCTGGAGCAGCGGCTTTCTACCACCATCCCTGCTGTCGTTGCCACTCTCCATGCGTCCATATTCATCCCTGCCACCCACCCCACCCCCACCCACACCCCCTCCCCCACCCGCACCCCCACCCCCCACCCCCACTTCCACCCTCAACCCACTCCCTACCCGTTATCCAGGCTCGTGTGAGCATGCTGGAGCAGCATCTCTCTGCTGGAGCAGCATCTCTCTGCTGGAGCAGCATCTCTCTGCTGGAGCAGCATCTCTCTGCTGCTCCCGCTGCTGCTGCTGCTGCTTCGCCCCCTCTTCGCCCTGCTTCTGCTGCTCCCTTTGCCGCCGCCGCTGCCGCCGCTGCTGCTGGTGAAAGCTGGCTTGGGGAAGAGAACACTACCTCCGCTACAGGAGAATCAACCGCAGCAGGGGAGGAGGGGGATGCTGTGTCTCCTGAACTGCTCTCAGCATCAGCAGCATCAGCATCAGCATCAGCATCAGCATCACAGCATCAGCATCTGCATCAACATCAGCATCAGCAGCATCAGCATCAGCAGCATCAGCATCAGCATCAGCATCAGCATCTGCATCAGCATCAGCAGCATCAGCATGAGCAGCATCAGCATCAGCATCAACATCAGCATCACAGCATCAGCATCTGCATCAGCAGCATCAGCATCAGCATCAGCATCAGCATCAGCATCAGCATCTGCATCAGCATCTGCATCAGCATCAGCAGCATCAGCATGAGCAGCATCAGCATCAGCATCAACATCAGCATCACAGCATCAGCATCTGCATCAGCATCTGCATCAGCATCACAGCATCAGCATCAGCATCAGTCAGCTTCTATGTCTTTGTGAGTATGGTTATCCTGCCCATGTGGTTCGGTCACCATGGTTATCCAGCCCATGTGATGAAGGCGGGGTTGCTTTCGGTGATTCCCGTGCTTCGTGACAAAGCCTGCCTCTGCTGTCGCCAGTCACCAGCCATGGTCACCATTTGTCCCTCTCCTTCTCCCTCTCCTTTCCCGTCTCCAATCCCTGGTGGTCTTGCCGAGCCTTTTCTCTGTGCTTCAACCTTATGGTTCTGCCTTCATTCGGGCATCAACCCATTCCCCATTCTGGCATCACCGCTTTTCCCCATCCCCCCATTTCCCCATTTCCCCATTCCCCCATTCCTCCATTCCCCCATTTCCCCATTCCCCCATTTTCCCATTCGGGCATCACCTCTTTTCCCCATTTCCCCATTCCCCCATTCCCCCATTCCCCCATTCTGCCATCACTGCTTTCCCCCATTCCCCCATTCTGCAATCACCGCTTTCCCCCATTCCCCCATCCCCCTTTTTCCAGCCCTCGGGCAACTCTTCAGTAAGTACCAGCCTGCTGCGTGCATGTTGGTATGAGTTACAGCATGCATGTTGGCATGAGTTACAGCATGCATGTTGGTATGAGTTACAGCATGCATGTTGGTATGAGTTACAGCATGCATGGTGGCATGAGTTACAGCATGCATGGTGGCATGAGTTACAGCATGCATGTTGGTATGAGTTACAGCATGCATGCTGGTATGAGTTACAGCATGCATGGTGGCATGAGTTACAGCATGCATGTTGGATGTTGGCATGAGTTACAGCGTGCATGTTGGTATGCATGTTGGCATGAGTTACAGCATGCATGGTGGTATGCATGTTGGCATGAAGTCACAGCATGCACGCCGGCATGAGTTACAGCATGCATTATGGTATGTATGTTGGCATGAGTTACAGCATTCTCTTACCGCCTCACTCACTCACTCCCGCACCTCTTTTCTGTCACATGGCAGGTTGAGCAAGGAGGCACAGGCGGAAACGTCTTGCCAGGAATCAGGCGATCAGGCATCAGGAGGGGATCGAGAGGCAGAGACGAGCCATGAGGACAGAGGCAGCCTTGTGGATGGAGCAGAGGGGTGAAGGGGAAGCACAGGTGCATGGAGCAGCGGGCGAAGACGGGCGTGAACAAGGCTGCGAAAGAACAAGAGCTGAGCTACAGTAGGTTGTAGCTCCTGTGGCTGGAAATGGTTACAAGAAGCTGTAGCTGCAACGTTGATTTGCTCTAGTGGGTAATATGATCATGCTTTTCCTAGTTTGGCTGAGAGAAAGTGTGTGCCTCCCTAGAACAAAGCTCACTGCACATATGTGTGCCCCCTAGAACAAAGCTCACTGCACATGTGTGTGCCCCTTAGAACAAAGCTCACTGCACATGTGTGTGCCCCTTAGAACAAAGCTCACTGCACATGTGTGTGCCCCCTAGAACAAAGCTCACTGCACATGTGTGTGCCCCCTAGAACAAAGCTCACTGCACATGGGCTTCCCCCTAAAAGAAATTCAATGGAAGCCATTACCCTATCAGAGATTCACTGCGAGTCCAGCCGTCACCCCTAGAAGAATAGCAGTGCACTGCAAGTTCAGCCATTACCCTTAGAAGAATACCGGTAGCACTTCACTGCAAGTTCAGCCATTAACCCTAGAAGAATTTGGGTGCAAGTCCAGCCATCACCCCTGGAAGAATAGCACTGCTCTGCAAGTCCAGCCATCACCCCTGGAAGAATAGCACTGCTCTGCAAGTCCAGCCATCACCCCTGGAAGAATAGCACTGCTCTGCAAGTCCAGCCATCACCCCTAGAAGAATAGCACTGCTCTGCAAGTCCAGCCATCACCCCTGGAAGAATAGCACTGCTCTGCAAGTCCAGCCATCACCCCTGGAAGAATAGCACTGCTCTGCAAGTCCAGCCATCACCCCTGGAAGAATAGCACTGCTCTGCAAGTCCAGCCATCACCCCTGGAAGAATAGCACTGCTCTGCAAGTCCAGCCATCACCCCTGGAAGAATAGCACTGCTCTGCAAGTCCAGCCATCACCCCTGGAAGAATAGCACTGCTCTGCAAGTCCAGCCATCACCCCTGGAAGAATAGCACTGCTCTGCAAGTCCAGCCATCACCCCTGGAAGAATAGCACTGCTCTGCAAGTCCAGCCATCACCCTTAGAAGAATAGCACTGCTCTGCAAGTCCAGCCATCACCCCTAGACTGCACGTTCGCTATAGCTGCAAGTTCAGCCGGGTTTAGTACCGCACCCCCTTGACTGCACCATCTTTCACCATCCCCTTGACTGCACCATCTTTCACCCATCCAGCCAACCACCATCTTTCACCATCTTTCCCCATCTCTCCATGTCCACCCCACCATGGACTTCACCATCCAGCCATCATCTCTTTCACTTCTCCAACCAACCAACCACCGTCGTTTCACTTCCCCATCCAACCAGTCTTACATAGTTTTTTTTTTTTTTTTTTTTTTTTTGTTAGGCTTCACCACCAAAGCCAGGGATAAAAATCCGTCCCATCAGCATCTCCTGGCGCGATGCTTACGGGCTGAGACCCGGAGGCGTTACGGGTACTGCCGTGCTCGGAGGCTAAAGATCCCATCCGACGTAGAGCAAGCCACACCCATCGGACGTAGAGCAAGCCACACCCATCGGACGTAGAGCAAGCCACACCCATCGGACGTAGAGCAAGCCACACCCATCGGACGTAGAGCAAGCCACACCCATCGGACGTAGAGCAAGCCACACCCATCCGACGTAGAGCAAGCCACACCCATCCGACGTAGAGCAAGCCACACCCATCCGACGTAGAGAAAGCCACACCCATCCGACGTAGAGCAAGCCACACCCATCCGACGTAGAGCAAGCCACACCCATCCGACGTAGAGCAAGCCACACCCATCCGACGTAGAGCAAGCCACACCCATCCGACGTAGAGCAAGCCACACCCATCCGACGTAGAGCAAGCCACACCCATCCGACGTAGAGCAAGCCACACCCACCTCAGTGTGGACCGAATCAAGCTTGCTCTAGCCACACCCACTTCAGTGTGGATTTCGCAACTTAGAGCCAACCAATTCCAGCAGTGCTGAAGCTAGCTTGCCCTAGCCACATCCACGCCAGTCTGGACATTTTCCCTTTGATGCTGAGGTCTAGCCACACCCGCCTGGGTGTGGACTAGCCTAGGAGACCAAGAGCCCCCCACACCCACCCCGGTGTGGGAAAGCCTGCAAGTGACTGAGAGCGAACTCCCCACACCCACCCCAATGTGGGAAAGCTATTAAGTAGAAAGAGGAGATTTCTCCACACCCACCCCGGTGTGGACTTCTCTCTCTCTTTAGCGGTTGAGGACCCTCCACACCCACCCCGGTGTGGTACTGGCCTCTTTGGCAGCTCAAGCCCTCCACACCCGCCCGGGTGTGATACTGACTTGAAGAGCTCATAACCCATTCCAGCATTGATGCTACCTGGCCATCCGGGTGCCCAGAACGATTTGACGTGGTGGTGGTGGTGGTGGTGGTGCAGCGCAGCGAGTGCACGTCATGCGCTCACGAGGCCCACACCACACGAGGTGCGCAGCTAAAAGTGCACGATGGGGGACTTGACTGCACGCGTGATGTACGCGATCCCGTAGAGCGTGATGCCCGTGGTTACCTGCTGCACTTCCTCGGGGTGGACAGGCAAGAGAGGACAAAGGGAGAGAAGCGGGGTCAGTGGTAGAGTGTTAGTACGCAAACTAGTACATGACACAGGCCCCGTCGTCACCTGCTACAATTCCTAGCTCTTACACTGCTGAAGCATGAGCGCTCACCATATCCACAACATTTAATGATACGTTGAGGTTCTTGTGGCTCTTGTATTGCTGCAGCCGCATCGCGCGGTACTTCTCCCGACTCACGTGCGACTCACGTGCAGCCACTCCCACGGGATCCCCTGAATGTCCCGCCCCTGCCGCACCTGCCGCGCGCTCACGTCCTCGGGACCTTGCACCTGGCGTCGGGGGAAGCAGGGCCCGACAGAAGAAAGGCGGGTGAAAACAGAATGGCGCGACGACGGGGAATGGCACGACCTGCCCTAATCCAAATCAGTCTGGCAACGAAACAACATTTGTTATAGTCGCACGCGAAGGCTGCTGATTATAATCACACCTGCCAATGCGTGGTCGCTGAATAAATGCCAGAGCCTCGCTGAGCGCCTCGTCGGCGCCTTGTGAATCCCAAGTCGTCGCTGTCGAGAACGCTCTCCTCCTCGTCGTCGTGGTGGGGGAGCAGCTGCTGTGACGGCGCTGATGTGTACGACCATTGCCGGCATCCGTGTTCTCGTGTTGTTCCATGTCCAACGGCAACCATCAACGAGAGGCCGACGGAGAATGCAGCATAGAGAAACAAAAGGTACAGACCGCGGTGAGGAGGCCACACGGAGTTGTGCAGGCCAAGAGTGCCTTGGTTGGGTTGAGCGACAAGGCGACGAGTGAAAGAGGTTGTGCGACGAACGCCAGGGAGTTCCTCCGCCCATAATTTGCTGTTTGACGACCACGGCGACTTTTGTTCAAAGCTATTTGGATGACGATTTCCGTGTGTGCATAATACTGTACGGTGCAATGGTCGTCAATCTAAGATGTGGATACAGCGATGTGGATGCAAAACTCTCTGTCTTTAGCGAGAAATACTCGTTATAGATCTTCATGTGCACAATCTCCATCAAGTGCCACGTCCACACCGCCTTGTAGCCCAGGATTTCCCGCAATCTGAAGCTCTCATGCGAAAAAACATTTGTGCGAGGTAACCACTCGTTGACCACTCTGTTTTCGTGCATCTCACACACTCGCTCCTAAACCCCGCAACATCCCTCCACACCTTGACATCTTCTCTCGCTCGCCATTCCCATCACAAACCCTCTCCCCTCACCTCCAGCAATCTTCGCATCTCCACAAATCCTTCCGAACTTCGTACTCCATCTCTTCAGGTCAGTGCAGAATCAGCTATCGAGTCGTGACGCTCGACGATCGAGCGAAATCACTCGTTTCGCAGGGTCGAAGCATACGGCCTTGCGCGATAGAAGCGCGCGTAAGGTCGAATTTCTTAGTCGATCGGCCTCCTCGAGTCGGCGCCTGGGCTTGTGAGTCCACTGGGCGTGGGCGACAGTGGGACTGGTCTGCCCCCCCCACCATGGCGTTTCCCCCGCCAGTCGCCGTTATTTCGTCACATCTCTCCGCGTCTTTAACTGTGGCTCTTCCGGCTCCTATTCCCAAAAATCGTCCATGTTTCCGCGACTCACTCCCCTCTGCTGCCGCCGCGTCGCCGTCACGCCTGGTACACCATAGTACCGCGTCGCCGTTATCGCCGCTTTTAACAGCCGCCACTTCTTATCGCGGACACGGCCAACATTCCTCCACCGCTGCCACTACCGCCACCGCCGCCGTTGCAGACGGAGACGCGATCGCTCCCACGTTTTCCGGCGCGTCCGGCGCCGTGATCCCCGCGGTTGAAGCCGCCGGGGCGAGCGCCTTCGCGGCAGTTTCGCCGTTGAGTCCTGGATCGCATGATCGTCAGAGCGGCTCGACTAGCGACGGTACCGCTGCGGCTGCTTCTGCGACTGCGCTATTGTTTCGGTCGCGTAAACCGTCGCTGCTGCGACCCAATGCCACGAATCGGCTGGAATGCGCGACAACTCGCGACTCGTCGACTGCCTTCGCGCAGAATGTCGGTCCAGGGGCGAAAAGGGTCGCCCGTGTTACCACGCAGACCGCGGGGGCGATTTCCAGCGTCCTCCGCCTGGCGCCTTCCGCCGACGCAACCCGCGGAGGAAAAGGAGACGACAGCGGGAGGAGCGGAGACGCGCAGAGGCGCAAAAGCGGGCAGGCAGAGCAGCGACGGAGGGATGGGTTATCCCGGGCGGAAGATGAGGGGAGTTTAACGGACGAGGAGGAGGAAGAGGGGCATCGGCGGAGGGTGCGTCTGGGGAAGGAGCGGCGGCTGGGGCAGCCGTGGAACTCGGGGATTTCCCCCGCCGGCCAGCGCGCGTTCCGCCGGCTGCTGCTCGGCGCGGACGGGGAGCGGGGGAAGGCGGAACGGGTGCTCAGCGCATCTGCGGAAGCGGAGGCGGAGAGGCAGCAGGGGAGGGCGGGGAATTTCGGGAGAGTGGACCGGTGGTCGCGACGAGCGCAAGGGGGGGCGGGCGATGGGCGCGCGGATGGTCCCGGATGCGATGATGGCGGACGCGCGCTGGAGCTCCGCGGAAAGGGCGGGGACATGGCGGAGAAGGGGGGAGGGGAATCGTCGGGGGAGATATCCGCGAGTGATATAATGACGATTTTGAAGGGGTTGGGGAACAAGGGGCGGTGGCGGGATGCGCTTGCGGTTTTTCACTGGGCGCGCGGGTGCGGAAAGATTGGCGGAAGCTGCGCGGAGGGGGAAGAGGCGTGGCGGGAGCGCGGGAATCCTATGGTGTCGCTGGTGCTGCGCATTCTGAGCCGATGCGACCGCCCGAATGTGAGTGTAACGAGGGAGGTGACCAGCCGAATGTGATTGCAACGAAAGATGCGACCGGGAGCGCGCCGTACGTTAACGCGTACATCGAATGATAAGCGCGCTCTCGCTCCCCCTTCCCCTCCCCCTCCCCCTCCCCCTCCCCCTCCCCTTCTGTTCGCCGATCCCTCCACTGCCCTTCAGCCCACCCCCCCCCCCCCTCTCCCTCCCTCTCCCGGCGCAGGAGGCGGACGATTTGTTCCGCGCGCTCGTGGCGGACGGTTGCGCGCTCGACGTGTATGCATACACGGCCATGATGAGCGCGCTCTCGCGCGCGGGGCGCTTCAACGACGCGATCGCGCTCTTCCACTCGATGCGCGCCGACGCGGGCGTGGCGCCCTCTATAGTCACATTCAACGTCGTTCTCGCGGCGTACGCGCGCAAGCGCGGGTGTTTTCACCACATGGCGTCCCTGCTGCAGGAGATCCGGACCGTTGGATTGACGCCCGATGAGTATACGTATAACACGATGATCTCGGCGTGTGCTGATGCGATTGTGAATGAGGATGCGGGGGATGTGCCTTGTGTTGCTCCTGCACTGACGGGACCGGCGGCGGGAACAGCAGCAGCAGCGGCAGGAACAGTGACGGCAGCAGTAGCAACGGCAACAGCTGCTGTAACGGCTATAGCTAGGCCAGCAGCAGGAGCAGCAGCGGTAGAAGCAGGAGCAGGAGCAGGATCAGTAGTGGTAATACAGGCGGGAGGGAAGGGAGTGTTACTAGCACAGGAAGGGTTACCAGCAGCAGGAGCAGCAGCAGCAGCGGATAGCATTAGTGACAGTAGCGAGAGTGACGCTGGCTACAGTACCAGTCACTACACGACAAACGACAGCTACAGTTCCAGCAGCAGCAGCTACAGTGTCAGCAGCAGTGCCGCCCAGTATATCCAAGAAGCAGAGCGAATCTTCGCGGAGATGCGGGCGGCAGGGCTGAAACCGACACGTGTCACGTACAACGCGCTGCTAGACGTGTACGGGAAGGCAGGCCACGTGGCACTCGCCCATTCGGTGCTGGAGTCCATGCTGGAGGCGGGCGTGCGGCCGAATCTGGTGACTTATAATGAGATGATCAGCGCGTGCGCGCGCAAGGGGCTATGGCGGGAGGCGCGTGGGATTGTGGATTCCATGCTGCGCGGAGGCGAGGCGGAAGGGGGAGAGGCGGAGGGGGAGGCGGAGGGGGAAGGGGGGAGGGGAGCGGAGGCGAAGGGGAAAGGTAAAAGGGAGGGGAAAGTGATGGTTGGGGCTGATAAGATAGAGGGAGGATCGGTGGCGGAAGGGAGAGGGAACAAGGTGGGGGAGGACGGAGGGGGCGATAGAGCAGGGGTAAGGGTTGGGGGATCAGAGCAAGAAGCTTCGAGGAAGAAGGACAGCAAGGAAGACCTCATTCTCCCTCCCAAACCGGATGTTTTTTCCTACACTGCCCTGATTGCAGCGTACGGGAAGGGCGGGCAGGTTGAAGAAGTGAGGGAAACTTATCAGACCATGCTGGAGCAGGGCTGTTTCCCGAACCTTTTCACCTTCAACATCCTGCTGGATATTTACGGGAAGAACAAGCTGTTTGCTGACGTGGCATGGGTCATGGATGAGCTGGCAACGAGCGGGATCAAGCCCGACGTGGTGACGTGGAACACCCTGATTCGTTGCTACGGTCAGTCGCAGATGCTGCCGAAAGTCGAAGCTACAGTAGAGGCGATGCGGAGATCCGGCTGCCGCCCAAATCGGCGCACTTACAACGGTCTGATCGACGCGTTTGGACGGTGCGGATCGGCCGCTGACGCAGCAGCGGTCTTCGAAGCGATGAAGTGTGCTGGGCACACGCCAAACACAGCCACCTATATCGCTCTCCTAGCCGCCCAGTCCCGAGAAGGCTTGTGGGAAGAAGCCGAAAACACAATCGAGACTATGAGACGAAGCGGATACGCTCCTGATGCTCTCGCATATTCTTGTCTTATTCACGCGTATGCTACAGCCGGGGATGCCAGCCGGCTGCTAGATGCAGTCTCCCGGCTGGAAGCCACCGGGAAGATTCCCAGGTCTACCTCCCCCAGGTGCCCCTGGGAGGTGCACAAGTCGCTGGTTTTGGCGTTTTGCAAGTGTGGGTGTGTGGGGGAGGCGGAGGGGGCATTAGAGAGGATGAGGGGGATGGGGCATGTGCCCGATCTGGTGGTGTGGAATGCGGTGCTGGGGATGTACGGGCGGTTGGGGAGGGTGGAGAGGGCGGAGAGGGTGAGGGGGGAGATGAGGCGAGAAGGAGTGGGAGGGGACGTGGTGACTCATAATGTGATGATGAGTGTGTATGGGCGGGAGGGCATGAGTGAGAGTGTGGAGCGGGAATTTGAAGGCATGAAGACAAGAGGTGTTTCTCCGGATGCTGTGTCGTTCTCCTCGGTGGTTCTCACCCTCTGGTGAGTGCTTCTTCTTTTTTTCGAGGTGAATTTTTTCAAGCCGACTCAAAAGTCGTCTCGACTTTTGAGTCGACTCAAAACTCAAAAGTCGTCTCGTTCTCCTCGGTGGTTCTCTCCCTCTGGTGAGTGCTTTTATTTTTTCGGTATGGTGAGTGCTGTGTTGGGTACAGTTAGTGCTACATTCAGCAGGGCATAATGTGATCATGAGTGTGTATGGGAGGGAGGGCATGGCATGAGTGAGAGCATGGAGCTCCGGAGTCCGGACATACTCCAGAGGGTGGAGCGTGGAGCGTGGAGTTTGAGGGAAGGCCAGAGGGGTTGCTCCGGACGCTGTCTCATACTCCTCTGTGCTCCTCACTCTCTGGTGAGTGCTGTGTTGGTCGGTATGATGAGTGCTGTGTTGTTCGGTAGCTGTGGTGTGTGGTTGGTGTTGAGTGAGAGTGTGGAGCGCGAGTTTGAAAGCATGAAGGCCAGGGGAGTTGCTCCGGACGCTGTCTCATGCTCCTCTGTGCTCCTCACTCTCTGGTGAGTCAAGTATCACTGGTAGTTTGTTGTGGTGCTAAGTTAACGTAATTAGCTATGGCAATTCGCTCAGGCAGCAGTCACTCCCTACGTGGCTGAGTGCCTCTTGGATTCGCACTGCATTGCCATTGTGTTTTTGAGAATTCTCAAAAACTCCCTACGAGGATAGCGCTCTCTCTCTCCCCCGCTCCACCGTTCACCCCATTGCCTGGTGCCTCTTGGATTCTCAATGCCATTGTGTTTTCCCTCGCAGCAAGGTGGGGAGAGTGGAGGCAGCACGCCGTTACGTGGCAGAGTGTGAAGCAGCTGCCCTCTCGCTCTCCCCTGTGGGGAGAGTGGAGACGGGGAGTCCTTACGTGGCAGGGTGCGAGGCAGCCGGCTCTCTCCCCTTTGCCGCTCAACTCAATCCCATTGTGTTTTCCCTCGCGGCAAGGTGGCGAGAGTGGAGGCAGCACGCCGTTACGTGGCAGGGTGCGAGGCAGGGTAGGGTGTGAAGCAGGCGGCTCTCTCCCCTTCGCTGCTCAACTCAATGCTCCTCTCTTTTGTGCTTTGGCTCCCACTCCTCCTATATCGAAATCACTTTTGAGAATTCTCAAAAGGGATTTCGATATTGCTCCCCCTCGCAGCAAGGTGGGAAGAGTGGAGGCGGGGAGTGGTTACGTGGCAGAGTGCGAAGCAGCTGCCCTCTCTCTCTCCCCTGCTGCTTTTAACACCTTTGCCTTGAACACCACCTTTGCTTTGCTTTGTTTCTCTTTCACTGAAACCCCCACCGGCAGCAAGGTGGGGAGAGTGGAGGCGGCGAGTCGCTACGTGGCTGAGTGGGAAGCAGCTGCCCTCTCGCTCTCCCCTGCGGTGCTCAACTCAATGCCTCTTTTGTCTCTGACTCTGCTCCCCCATACCCATGTGTTCCCGTCGCAGCAAGGTGGGAAGAGTGGAAGCAGCATCTCGCTACGTGGCAGAGTGGGAAGCAGCTGCCCTCTCGCTCTCCCCTGCGGTGCTCAACTCAATGCCTCTTTTGTCTCTGACTCTGCTCCCCCATACCCATGTGTTCCCGTCGCAGCAAGGTGGGAAGAGTGGAAGCAGCATCTCGCTACGTGGCAGAGTGGGAAGCAGCTGCCCTCTCGCTCTCCCCTGCGGTGCTCAACTCAATGCCTCTTTTGTCTCTGACTCTGCTCCCCCATACCCATGTGTTCCCGTCGCAGCAAGGTGGGAAGAGTGGAAGCAGCATCTCGCTACGTGGCAGAGTGGGAAGCAGCTGCCCTCTCGCTCTCCCCTGCGGTGCTCAACTCAATGCCTCTTTTGTCTCTGACTCTGCTCCCCCATACCCATGTGTTCCCGTCGCAGCAAGGTGGGAAGAGTGGAAGCAGCATCTCGCTACGTGGCAGAGTGGGAAGCAGCTGCCCTCTCGCTCTCCCCTGCGGTGCTCAACTCAATGCCTCTTTTGTCTCTGACTCTGCTCCCCCATACCCATGTGTTCCCGTCGCAGCAAGGTGGGAAGAGTGGAAGCAGCATCTCGCTACGTGGCAGAGTGGGAAGCAGCTGCCCTCTCGCTCTCCCCTGCGGTGCTCAACTCAATGCCTCTTTTGTCTCTGACTCTGCTCCCCCATACCCATGTGTTCCCGTCGCAGCAAGGTGGGAAGAGTGGAAGCAGCATCTCGCTACGTGGCAGAGTGGGAAGCAGCTGCCCTCTCGCTCTCCCCTGCGGTGCTCAACTCAATGCCTCTTTTGTCTCTGACTCTGCTCCCCCATACCCATGTGTTCCCGTCGCAGCAAGGTGGGAAGAGTGGAAGCAGCATCTCGCTACGTGGCAGAGTGGGAAGCAGCTGCGCTCTCGCTCTCCCCTGCGGTGCTCAACTCAATGCCTCTTTTGTCTCTGACTCTGCTCCCCCATACCCATGTGTTCCCGTCGCAGCAAGGTGGGAAGAGTGGAAGCAGCATCTCGCTACGTGGCAGAGTGGGAAGCAGCTGCCCTCTCGCTCTCCCCTGCGGTGCTCAACTCAATGCCTCTTTTGTCTCTGACTCTGCTCCCCCATACCCATGTGTTCCCGTCGCAGCAAGGTGGGAAGAGTGGAAGCAGCATCTCGCTACGTGGCAGAGTGGGAAGCAGCTGCCCTCTCGCTCTCCCCTGCGGTGCTCAACTCAATGCCTCTTTTGTCTCTGACTCTGCTCCCCCCATGTGTTCCCGTCGCAGCAAGGTGGGAAGAGTGGAAGCAGCATCTCGCTACGTGGCAGAGTGTGAAGCAGCTGCCCTCTCGCTCTCCCCTGCGGTGCTCAACTCAATGCCTCTTTTGTCTCTGACTCTGCTCCCCCATACCCATGTGTTCCCGTCGCAGCAAGGTGGGAAGAGTGGAAGCAGCATCTCGCTACGTGGCAGAGTGGGAAGCAGCTGCCCTCTCGCTCTCCCCTGCGGTGCTCAACTCAATGCCTCTTTTGTCTCTGACTCTGCTCCCCCATACCCATGTGTTCCCGTGGCAGCAAGGTGGGAAGAGTGGAAGCAGCATCTCGCTACGTGGCAGAGTGTGAAGCAGCTGCCCTCTCGCTCTCCCCTGCTGCGCTCAACGCCTTTGCCTCGGGCTGCATTTCTGCTGGGCGGCCCACTGATGCTGTCAGGGCGATGGAGAGTGCTGAAAGAAGGGCCGGCAGGTGAGCCGTTTCTGTGAGGGAAGGAAGGTCATGGATGCAGAAACTCACACTCAGGGGCACTGGCCGCTGTGAACAAGGGGCGAAGGTCATAGATGCAGAAACTAGGGATGAGCAAGGGGCGAACACGAACATGTTCGCCCTTGTGCTCATGTCTAGCAGAAACTCACACTCAGGGGCACTGGCCGCTGTGAACGTCTTTGCTTCGGGCTGCATTTTTGCTGGACGGCCCACTGATGCTGTCAGAGCGATGGAAGCAGCAGAAAGGAGAGCCGGCAGGTGAGCAGCAAGCAAGGGTGGGAAGGTGTGAGAGACAGAAACTCAGGGCACTGGCAGCGCTGAACGCCTTTGGCGTTGAGCTCTCTGGCTGCATTTCTGCTGGGCGGCCCACTCACGCCGTGAGGGCCATGGAAGCAGCCGAAAGACGTGCTGGCAGGTGAGCAAGTGAGCGGGTGAGCCAGTGTGAGAGTGCCTCTCTCACGAGAGTGACACACGAGAGTGACACACGAAAGTGAGAGATAGGGAGTGGGTGGTGTGTGTGCTTTGGGCTGCCTGGCTGCTGGGCGGCCCACTGACGCCGTCAGGGTGATGGAAGCAGCAGAAAGACAGGCTGGCAGGTGAGCAAGTGAGCGGGTGAGAGATAGAGTACCACGAACAGGACTGCAGGAAAGAGTTCGAGAGTGGATGGTGTATGCCATGCTCTGCGCATGTATGTATGAGTGGATGGTGTATGCCATGGTCTGCGCATGTATGTATGAGTGGATGGTGTATGCCATGGTTGCCACTGCTGTGCGCACATGCTGCCTCTGCTGGCCGCATATGCTGCCACTGCTGCCCCCACATGCTGTCACTGCTGCCCCCACATGCAAGCGCTCCAGATGGTCACTGCTGCTGCTGCTGGGACCGCTTCCACACTCACTCCCTTGTTTTTGAGTTGACTCAAAAGCAGGCAAGGTGTTGTTTTGCTCTCTCGCCCAGATTTCAGCAAAACAACACCTTGAGTCGACTCAAAAGACACTCCAGATGGCCCTTGCTGCTGCCGCTCACTCCCTTGTTTCCCTTTTGCATCCACCCATTCCTCTCTCTTTGCACCCTCAATCCCATGCAGGCTTGAGCGTCACTCTTATGCCCTCGGGATGCAAGCACTCCAGATGGCTGCTGCTGCTGCTGATACTGCCGCTGTGGTTGCCACTGCCTCTCACTCTCCTTCTCTCCCACCTGCGCCCTCAATCCCATGCAGGCTTGCCCCTGACTCGTATGCACTCTGGATGCAAGCACTGCAGATGGCTGCTGCTGCTGCTGCCATTGCCACTCCTGCTGCTCCTGCCCCTCCTGCTGTCACTCACTCATTCCACTCTCTTCAATCTCTCCCACTCTCTCCATGCATCCCATGCAGGCTTGACCGTGACTCGTATGCCCTCTGGATGCAAGCGCTCCAGATGGCCGCGGCTGCTGCTGCCAACAGTCCCAAGAGCAGTAGCAGCAGCAACGGCAGCAGCAAGAGCAGCAGTGGTAACAACCGGAGGAGCAACAGCAGCAGCAGCAGCAGCAGCGGGAGCAGTGACAGCAAGAACAGGAGCAACAGCAAGAGCAGGAGCACCTCTTCTGATGCAGCAGCTGCAATCAGCCCATCTGGTGAGGCAGAGGATACAGGGGACAAAGCAACGGCAGGGGATATGGCACGGGCAACAGCAGGAGGAGCGGCAGGGGGTGAGCAGGTGTCTGTGTCCCCTCAGGATCACTACAGCTCGCAACTGGCTGTGCTGGCTGCACGGATGGAAGCAATGGAGATGAGAGGAGGAGGAGCAGGGGGAGCTGGGAAGTATGGTTTCAGCAGCGGGAAGAGCAGCAGGAGGGGTAGCAGGGGCGGTGGCAGATAGGGATGCGGATCGCAACAGCAGTCAGCTGGCAGTGCTGGCTGCACAGATGGAGGCGATGGAGATGAGAGGAAGAGGGGCGGGGGGGGCTGGGAAGTATGGCAGTGGTAAGAGCAGCAGGAGGAGAAGCGGGAAACAAGGATTCTAATCAATCCGTTCGGGACGAGATGATGTGTGGAGCTGGATTTGCACACGACTTGTGAGGCGCCTCAAAAGGATTCTAGTCGATCCTTTTTGGACGAGGTGATGATGTGGAGAGCTGGATTTGGAGAAAGTGCAAAGGTGGATGGGCTGATGGTATATGTAGAATCGGTGGCAAGGAGAACAGAAAATCAGTTTGAGGCGCCTCAAAGCTGGGCTGCTGGTATATGTAGAGTTGGTGACAAGGAGAACAAAATGTCATCACAATACTCATGTGGGTATTGAGTAATCAGTAGTGTATTTGAGTATCAACTGGTGTACCAGTAATTGTTTTCATGAGGGTTATGCACAGGAAAGAAAAGAACAAGTTTTGCCTTTAAGCACAGCTACAGACATAACAGTATTTTTATCTCTTTCAGAGCACACTTTGAATAGTTGCTCAATCCAGCTAGTTTTACTTCTTTCTTATGTATTGTACATAGAGTACAAATATACATTGAATTATTACATGGTACCCAACTCCCAGCACATACACCAATATTCCTAGACTTGCTTGTGATAAAGCATGAGGACAGACACACATATTCAGCATTTCTGCAGGCAAGAACTGGGCACGTGGGAACTCAGATCCGTATCACAAGTCACTCCGGAAACACCTCCACCTTTTCTACTCTTTGACGCCTTGCAAGCAACGTGTATTATACAGTAACACGGCACTCCCTAGGCTGGGGGCAGCAGCTGCTCTTCTATCTCCTCTAAAGAGCGACCCGCTGTTTCGACAAGAGACGTGGCCGTGAAGAGTGCACCCGCGAAGCATACGCAAGCGAAGAATGAGAAGAGGGTGGTTTGGCCGAAGCGAACCATGAGAGGCAGGAAGGAGAAACCGACCATGAAATTGAAGACCTGGAGAGAAAACAACGGGATAAGGACGGGAAGGGAGGAGCACATAATGGGGCATGTATGAAGGGTGCCTAGCAAGAATGAGAAGAGGGTTGTTGGGCCGAAGCAAACCATGAGAGGCAGGAAGGGGAAACCATCCATGAAGTTTAAGACCTGGAGATGAAGGGAACAGAGGGGAGATAAATTCACTTTTAAGAAGCCTCAAAAGCATTACCAGTCTGTAAAGATGAAACATGCCCCATCACATGCCTGGTGCATGCATAGTGCCATATACTACACACCATTTCCCACGCTTAATTCCGCATGCATCATGCACCATCCACACACCCAATGCACAAGTTTTGAGTCGACTCAAAACTCGACTCATAGTACCATATACTACACACCATTCACCACGCGGAATTCCGCATGCATCATGCACCATCCACTCACCCAGTGTACACACATGGCAAAGGCCATGCCCTTGGCTCGGATGTGGTTCGGCAGCATCTCAGGCAGCATCAGGCCCGGCACAGGTCCGGCTCCCATGGTGAAGCAGGCTACGTAGCTGTTTGGGGAAGAGGAAGAGGGTTGGAGGAGGGAGAGGGAGGGGAGGGTCACAAGCGGTGCCACATGGCTTACGTGAGCCTATTTTTGAGGCGACTCAAAAATACGTGATAAAAGTTTTATTTTGAGACGTCTCAAAATACAAGTTTTATCAAAGAGAGGGGAGGGTCAGTAAGCGGTGCCACATGGTTTACTCCACAACCCTTTCTGATTGCGGTGTTTGATTGCCGTACCCCATCCTTTCAGGCATAGCACGGCAATCAAACACCATTCCTGGCATTTTTACAATAAGCCAACCAGTCAACCACTCTCAGCCGCACTACGGGATAGGGATACTCACACGAGGGTGGCAGTGAGCGTGATGAGCGGCGCCACGGGCGCCATCCAGAATAGCACCTGCGCTGCTGCTTGCACCGCCATGCACAGCTGCACTCAACCGCACTCAACCGTACTTAATTGCAGAAAAAACTCACACGAGGGTGGCAGTGAGAGTGATGAGCGGTGCCATGGGGCCCATCCAGGGTAACACCTGCGCTGCTGCTTGCACCGCCATGCAAAGACCCTGGTGATGAGTTGAGAGACAAGAAAAGGCAGACCAAGGGAGAGAGGAGATAAAACGGGGGCATTGAGTGATGAACGGAGCCATGGGCTTTGAGGCGCCTCAAAAGTGATGAACGGAGCCATGGGCGCCATCCACGGTAGCACCTGCGCTGCTGCTTGGACCAGACCCTGATGGGGAAGAGGAGAGTGGAGAAAATAGATGAATGCAGGGGTGGAGGGTGAAAAGAAGAGGGCATTATGATGCAACGGATAATGTGGCCTTTTTGCTTCTACCCTTATGTAATTGCCGTAGCACTTGCTTTTTGATAGCAGTCGGTCGGAGGAGAGGGTGATACACACTCACCATGCCAATGAAGCTCCCGGTGATGAGCGCCTTCCTCCCAACACGGTCGATGAGAGCAGAGCACACCAGAGATGCTGAAGCTCAGGGGGAGAGGGGAACCGGGGCAAGAGAAGTTCTTTGAGACGTCTCAAAACAGGGGGAAGGCGGGAACGGGGCAAGAGAAGTTCTTTGAGACGTCTCAAAACAGGGGGAAGGCGGGAACGGGGCAAGAGAAGTTCTTTGAGACGTCTCAAAACAGGGGGAAGGCGGGAACGGGGCAAGAGAAGACCTTTGAGTCGACTCAAAAGCCAACACAATCGATAAGAGCAGAGCACACCAGAGAAGCTGAAGCACAGGGGGGGGGGGGGGGGGGGGAACGGGGCAAGAGAAGAAGAAAATGTGGATGAGGAAAGGCTAACTATTGCACCCGATTGGATGCCGGCTGTCTTGACGAGGCGCGAGAAGAAGAAGCTCAACCGGCATGGGAACCAAGGGCGGACCACCCTGTTGTTCTTTCAGCTACATACATGCGGAGAGTCAACAATCACTCACCAACTAAGTTCAGTGTGCCCATGGCAACGCTAGCCAGGGCGCCGGACTGAATGCCGGCCGACTTGAAGAGGTGCGAGGAGGAAGTAGGGAGAGATGAGGTGGGATTGGAGGTATGAGAGCTTACCAACTAGGTTCAGAGTGCCCATGGCAACGCTTGCCATGGCGCCGGACTGAATGCCGGCCGACTTGAAGAGGTGCGAGGAAAAGAAGAATACGGCATTGATGCCGCTGAGTTGCTGTAGAGCAAATAGTGTTGCTCCGATGGTGACGACTGCAGGAAAAGGAGCAGGAGAAGAAGAAGACAAGGTGTCAGCAGGGAGGAAAAGGTGCGAGGAGAAGAAGAATACGGTGTTGATTCCGCTGAGTTGCTTTAGGGTGAAAAGTGTTGCTCCAAGTTGACCACTGGGGAATGGGGATGGGTGACAAGGAAAGAAGACAAAGAACGTAAGAGGGAGGGAGGCGTGAGAGGAGAAAACGAGTACAGCGTTGTTGGCACTGAGTAGCTGCAGGGCGGAGAGGGCAGCTCCTATGGTGACCACGGGAGAAAAAGAGGGATGACACAGGGTTACAAGGGGGGTGAGACACGGTAGAGAGGAGGAGAGAGGCATGAAAGGAGGCGACACACGACTCCCCTACTCACCACGCACATATTGCTTGGAGAATAGCCCTTCATGGCTCACATTAGAAGGGCAGCATCACGCAACAATCACCCATCACCAATCCCTATTCGTGTCAAAACACCAGTACACTACTTACCCCGCACGTATCGCTTGGAGAAGAGGCTTTGCCAAGTCACCTTCTCAACCGCTCCCCACTCCTTCACCAGACCTTCCTCGTCCCCTTTCCCCGCCACAGCCACCCCCTTCCCCTTCTCCAGCACTACATACCCCGGATGCTGCTGCTCTCCTTTCCCCTCCTTCTTTTCCCCCTTAGCCTCGCCCTCCCACCCCACATCGTGCCCCCTGCTGCCTCTTCCCCCAAAGGAATGATGCAGATCGTCCATGGTTCCTCCCACCTTCGCCTCTCCCAGCAGCTGGGTTACTGCTGCTGCCGCTTCCGCCCACTTGCCATGCTGCAGGCGGGGGCAGAGGGGTAGGGAAGGTGCGGTAGTGGGGTCGGGAGGGATAGAGAGAGATGAGAGGGGGTGACTGCCTGGGCCTAAGGAGTGATGCAGATCGTCCAGGGCGGGTTTCACCTTTGCTTCTCCCAACAACTGCGCCACCGCTGCTGCTGCCTCCCCCGACTTGCCGTGCTGAGGTTGATAGGTGGGGGGAGATGAGAGGGGGTGACTGCCTGGGCCTAAGGAGTGATGCAGCAGATCGTCCGTGGTCTCTTTCACCTTCGCTTCTCCTAGTAGCTGGGTTACTGCTGCTGCTGTTTCTGACCACTTGCCATGCTGGGGGGAGTGGCAGGGCAGCGGAGTGGGAGAGAGTGTGGGAGTTCACCTGGGATTGTTCACCTGGGATTGTTCACCTGGGATTGTTCACCTGGGATTGTTCACCTGGGATTGTTCACCTGGGATTGTTCACCTGGGATTGTTCACCTGGGATTGTTCACCTGGGATTGTTCACCTGGGATTGTTCACCTGGGATTGTTCACCTGGGATTGTTCACCTGGGATTGTTCACCTGGGATTGTTCACCTGGGATTGTTCACCTGGGATTGTTCACCTGGGATTGTTCACCTCGGATTGTTCACCTCGGATTGTTCACCTCGGATTGTTCACCTGGGATTGTTCACCTGGGATTGTTCACCTGGGATTGTTCACCTGGGATTGTTCACCTCGGATTGTTCACCTGGGATTGTTCACCTGGGATTGTTCACCTGGGATTGTTCACCTGGGATTGTTCACCTGGGATTGTTCACCTGGGATTGTTCACCTGGGATTGTTCACCTGGGATTGTTCACCTGGGATTGTTCACCTGGGATTGTTCACCTGGGATTGTTCACCTGGGATTGTTCACCTGGGATTGTTCACCTCGGATTGTTCACCTCGGATTGTTCACCTCGGATTGTTCACCTGGGATTGTTCACCTGGGATTGTTCACCTGGGATTGTTCACCTGGGATTGTTCACCTGGGATTGTTCACCTGGGATTGTTCACCTGGGATTGCTAACACTGGCACTTGCCTGCTGTCAATGCTGCACCTGCCACCATACCACCTGTCAACTCCTATCTGACCCCTCCTCACCTGCGCCAGCCACCGGGGGCTGTCCACCAGGAATGCACACGCCATGCAGAACAGCGCTGCTGGCAACCTGGCACTGACAGTGATGCGACACCTAATGCCATACCGCCACACCTCCCTGCCCCATCTTCTCACCTGCGCCAGCCACCGGGGGCTGTCCACCAGGAATTCACACGCCATGCAGAACAGCGCTGCGGGCACTGCAGCAATCCAAAAGCACATGCGCCACCTGGGCAAGGGGAGAAGCGAGGAGAGGAGGTGAAGCGAGGAGAGGAGTTGAAGCGAGGAGAGGAGGTGACGCGAGGAGAGGAGGTGAAGCGAGGAGAGGAGGTGAAGCGAGGAGAGGAGGTGACGCGAGGAGAGGAGGTGACACAAACGACGTCCAAGTGATAACATGGTCAACTCAGAAACACATGCGCCATGAGGTGCAAGAGAAGAGAGCAGACGCGGCGGGCAATTAGAGCAGCAAGCGGGGTGCAAGAAGTGGCAAGCAACATATGGGTGAGAAAATAGGTGTCTCACGATGAGGCGGGCAGGAGAGCGAGGTGACTTTTGAGTCGACTCAAAAGCAAAGTGACTTTTGAGTCGACTCAAAAGCAAAGTGACTTTTGAGTCGACTCAAAAGCAACATATGGGTGGAAAAATAGGTGTCTCACGATGAGGCGGGCAGGAGAGCGGCAGCAAGCAGGGCGGCAAGGATTCCGGTGCACGTGAGGACTTGGGGGATGGCACCAAACGTGCCCCTCTGCTGCGGTGGGGAGATCTGCAGAGAGAAGAGAAGACAGGGGAAAAAGCGGGAGAGGAACGGAGAGAGACTGGGTTTTAGGCGCCTCAGGGGAGAAGTGTGAGTGCGAGCATTGCCGGGATGCCGTGCACGTGAGGACTTGGAGGGTGTTTTTGAGAATTCCCAAAGGTGTTTTTTATCATTCTCAAAAACACCCTCAGGGGAGAAGTGTGACTGCGAGCGAGCATTGCCAGGAACCCGTGCACGTGAGGACTTGGGGGATGACGCCGAAAGTGCGGTGGAGAGATCTGAATGAAGAGATTAAGAAAAAGCGGGAGAGAAAAATTGAAAATGTTGGGCGCCTAATACAAGTATGGGTGCAAGCAGGGCAGCGAGAATGCTGGTGCACGTGAGGACTTGGGGGATGGCGCCCAATGTACTCCTCTGCTGGATCTGAGGAATGGCTATGCAACGTGCCTCTTTGTTGAAAATGCACAAGAGATATCATATCTACACCTAAACATGAACTAACAAAGAGCCATGATGGGGATGGCCATGCCTAGTCCAAAGCCCAGCAGGAACCAAACTTCACAGACATACATGTTATGCGTGCGCGCTACACACACACCTCGGGAATGTAGAGAGCCATGATGGGAATGGCCATGCCTAGCCCAAAGCCCAGCAGGAAGCGGCCGGTGACGACGAGCGAGAGAGATGATGCCATGGCACTGTTGGGTTGGGTCACACAGACACAACATTGAATCAAATAAAAGAAGAGTCAAAATGTCTCATCAGAAAATACCGGGTAAAAAAACGCATAGAAGTCGTAAAACCCAACAATAATTTAAATATGGTATCTAAGAAACACACCCACCAGAGAATGGATCCAATCAGGATGGGAACGCTGCAAAGCTGGAACCCCTTTTTCCTGCCCGCACTGTCAGCCACCGTGCTGCTGGTTGAACAACCCAGGAACGCTCCGAGTAGAAACAAGCTCACAACCGAAGCTGCACAAGGCATGGCAAGGAATGCAGGAGAAAGACACCCATTTATTGTACCGGTACGTGCTAAATAAGTCGCACCTCGCACGCCCTCCTGGTCGCAACACAGTCACAACTGAAGCTGCTGAGGAAAGAAACTCAAATGCTGGTTACACATAAACAAATTGGAATATAGTGCAAGCACCATAAAAGTGTGGAAGCTATTATATTTTGTAAAAACATTACCTTTGGCGAGAGCATTCTCAGCGAAGAGCAGCTCGACAGCCATGGATTCCAATGGTCCATTCACCACTCTGCTCATTGTACATGGAGGGTAGATAACAGGCAATACCCCACACAAAGGGGATTATAATGGAATATTGTGAATCTGCACGCTTTGTGTAGAAGCTTAGGAAAGAACCTCATTTTCTGAAGAGAAAGTGTTACTTACGACATGTGGTAACCGAACAGGAACGCAATTATTGACGAAGTGAGCACATGCGGCAACACCCCTCGCCACGCCAGCGCTTTTCGCGGCGCTGCCCCTCCCACAGCCTTCCGTCGTCCTCGGTGCTCCTTCCTGCTTGGTAACCCTGCCAATAATTATTAGCAAGGGATGTGAGAATGGCATGCCTGTCGCGCACCGAATTCGAGTCGAACCAGATCACATATCCAATCGAATGATTTATCTAAAAACTTCTCGAAACGAAGCAAAAATCAGAGCCACGCGCCATCACCTTGCGACAGCAACGGTCGCCCAAGATCGCTCTCCGTCGCACCCGGTTCCATCGTCTCCGTCGCCTCTTCGCCTCGCTCCTCGTCGCGCTCCTCGCGTCTCTCGCGACCTTCCTCGGCAGTCTCGGAAACCAAACCCGCGCGAGGCTTGCTGCTTCTAGCCTCGCGGCTTTTAGTCCCCTTGCTGCTCCCTGCCGCAGCAGCACCGGACGAGGCGCGATCCGCGCGATGACCTTCGCGATCCGTGCCGCCCCCCTCTCCCCCGGCGGGATTTGACGACGACGACAGCTTGCGACGCGGCGACGGCGATCGTTGGCCTGCGCGAAGAACGGCGTCGCAGACAAGAAGGTGAGACGATCTCAGGATTCGCGAACAGAGAGCAAAGCGTTTTGAAACACTTCAGATATACTTCGTCGGTTGACGTGAAGGCTGATTTAGAAAATTTTAATGGCACAACCGTCATCACCTTTCGCGTCGTTCGAACCAAAAGCCGCAGCGGTCACCAGAGCTCCCCTTCTTGTTTTTCCAGTGAATCCACGCGGCAAAATAGAACCTCCTCTTGTGCCCTGAGATACACGACAACATGCACAAACAATCCCAATGGAGCAGCGGGTGAGGTTCTGACTACATCACAGTGCATTTAAATTGGAATCAGCTCGCGCGCCAGATTTAGCGCATCGCGGGTTTGGCGCGCCAGATTTAGCGCATCGCGGGTTCTGCGCGCCAGAACAGGACCACGACCGCACTCCTACTAGTATCCGCGCTACCAGCGCCGACGCAGAAAACTGCCGTCCTTGTTCGGGACGCCCGCCGTCCGTGGCGAAAGAGAGTTTGCTTTGAGATTGAGAGGTACCTGGCTTCTGAACTCGTTTGGCAACCCCGTCAGTCCCCTGCCGCCGTAGGCCGTGGCCGACGCTGAGGACGGCGGCGCGAACAGGACCGACGCTGGGACGTGGAGAGTGCGACGGCCGAATGCGGCCTCCGGATTGGTTGTCGGAATGGCAGGCGCCGCGCCGGAGTGTATGGAACCGCTCCCAAGTGAGCGAAGGGTGTTGACAGCGGCGGGTTGCGGCATGCGATCCAAGCTCACGTTTCCCAGCGCCAACGAACCTGTCACACAATAAAATACCAAATCCATGTATTTTCTGTCAATTAGTAATATATATACAAAAAATCGCCGATGAACCTGTTCCTCGATTGAAAGGAGGACCTTTCACGCCCATAGCACAAACGCGGGGGACTCTGTTACGAAATGGTATTTCGTGACAAGAAAGATAGAGAGGAATAAAACGGCGCAAAGGAGACTCCGTGCAACTGCCGCGTTCGCTAACGGTTAGACTCCGTGACGGACCTATATTGATAATTTCAGCTGGCCCTGGGAGCTTACTACGAGAAGCCAGCAAAGCGCGGCGAACGCCCAGATCCAGATCGGGCTGACCCAAGCTCAACGTGGGATTCGACATCATCATCATCGTACGTCGACTGACTCAACTCTGCTCAGTGCTGATCGACGTCTAAATGCACTACCTATCTGTCACCAGTCTGACCGGAAGGAACGTTTCTGTTCTTCCAGAAGTACACGAAATTTGGAAACAGATACCAGAACGGTCTATTCCGGGGAGAAAAATGGGTTGGTCGGGTCAAATAGCATATTATCGTTGTCTAAAAGGCTAATAATCCCACCTCGTACTAGAAGTGATTCTACTCGCAGCGTGACGGTCCACTTAGAAAGCACGCTCCGACTGTCGGTCCTGACTTCTGGGAGGGGCTTCACAGATCCTTGGTGGATCCGCAAGGCGTGTAGTCGCCAGCAGCAAACCGGCCAAGGTTATTGTCCCTTGTGCGGGACGGAGAGAGTGCGCGACTCCAGCTTGGAAAGGATAAGGTCGAGGAAGCAGGGATGGTGGATGTTGGTGTTACAGCATTGCGACATGGAGGGGAGAACAAGCTACGGGTTTCGAGATAGTGAATGGGGTCGTTCGGAAAGGGGGCTGGGGAGGAGAGGGGCGAATTTGCTAGCGAAGGATGGCGAGGCGACAGCCGCACAGACTACGGCAAGAGGGGGTTTGGGTGTTGGAGAGGAGGGAGGTAAGGCAAGGGCGAATTTCGCGAAATTGCAGTGACAGGAAGAATTCTCTTGAGTTTACCGTACACGTGTCGTAGACGTGCTGCATGTGCGGCATGTCGGACCAATCGAACGGCACATGAGGAGTGTCACGAAGGGTCGCGACACCTGGAGAAATTTGCGGCTCGTCCAGGCGCTCCAAGTCGAGGGTGTGAGCGCTTGCCTGCTATTGGATGGTACAGTACGACGAGAGTTTTCCGCAAGGGAAGCAGGCATGGCGGTGGCTTCTGTTCGCGACAACGACATTGGTGAGGCGACTTCGTTATGAGTATTTGCAAATAGCTTCTTACGAGTATCTTTATTCTTGGCTAAGTTCTCTTTCTCTTGATTTTACTATCGTAAGCCTTGTCACAATTCAACAAAGTCCTTGATATTCGCTGGTGTATAAATTTCCACGTGTCAACTTTCAATCGGAGAGTTTGATTTGGCCTCAATGTTAGAACCCAGCCACGTGCAACATTAGTTCCAGTCTGGCAGGTAGAATGTCCACGTTGGAGAAGTTTCACCTTGGAGGTAACTGCCAGATGAGAGAACTTTCGCCCGTCCAATGAAGCAAGGGGGGGAAAGGGGATCAGGGAGGATGGGGTGGGGGTCAAAATTTGGCGCTTCCTTCCATCGGGGAAGGACAGTCGCGCATCCTCTCACCGCACACCAGCGCAAGCCAAAGACCCAGGTAACATAACCTCATTAAGCGAAAGAGTGCAAAGTCTCACCGAATCGCCCACCACACCTTGCTCTTGCATTCGTCTTGTTCGAGAACCGCAGTAGCAGGGTTGCGACCAGATTTCCCAGGTTGCGTTTAGAACTTTAAAAAATCAATTGCGAAGTCTCGCGAATATGCGTTTTACTTCCCGAATTCGCCCGTACGATCTCACCCCTTCCAGCCCCTTCTAGCCCCATCCGCCAAATTCCAGAACATTCCCCGTCGACTTTGGCAAAGCAGCTCTTCCCTGTTGATGAGCTTAGGTATAAATAGCTCTTTTGGCAGAAACTGAAGTATCAAAAGCTGCTTTCACAAGCTTCTCAGCAAACTGCCTACTACTCTTGACGACTTTTCTTCTTGATCCTCATTTTGCCATCTTGTTTCATTATACGACTGCTCAAATTCATCATTCCTGAGTTACCTAAATCGCCATGGATCCGAACTCCTTCACCCACAAGACCAACGAAATCCTCGTCGCGGCCCGCGAGCTCGCCGAGTCCAACGGCCACGCGGAAATCACGCCAGCGCACGTGGCGCTCGCGCTTCTGCAGGACGAAGACGGCGTTTTCCGCCACGCTGTCGCGCATTCCAGCGTCATCAACTACAACGCGACCGCGCCCGGCCATTCCCCGAGGGGCGATGGCGACACGATTCAAGCCTTCCAACGGGCCATCAAACGCCTTCTGCAGAAAATCCCCTCGCAGCAACCTCCGCCAGATGAAATCCACGCGAACCCCTCGCTCGTGAAGGCGCTGCGAAAGGCGCAGCAGATTCAAAAGAAGGCGGGAGACTCGCATCTGGCCGTCGATTCTCTCGTGCTCGCGTTGATGGAAGATTCGCAAATCTCTGAGGCAATGAAGGACGCGGGAGTGAATGCGGGGAAGGTGCAAGCGGCGCTGGCGCAGGCGCGCGGGGAGCGAAAGGTGGAGAGCGCTACGGCGGAGGGAACTTTCCAAGCGCTGAAGAAATTCGGGCGGGACTTGGTCGAGGTTGCGGCGAAACTCGACCCCGTGATCGGCCGCGACGACGAAATCCGGCGAGTCGTGCGAATTCTTTCGCGAAGGACGAAGAACAACCCCGTGCTGATCGGCGAACCCGGCGTCGGCAAAACCGCCGTCGCGGAGGGACTCGCGCAGCGCATCGCGCGCGGCGATGTGCCAAGCAACCTGCAGAACGTGCGG